TGGGTATTGGAGTCAAGCCAGTGGCCACATTGCATTAGCATTGCAGCAGTCCATCATGATGATAATTTATACAGCCTCAATTTGCACAGGCTATGCTATAGGTCCTCAGAATTCCCCTCTAATATGTTCATCATTAAGAAAGGCTCAAGACAAATGCCTGTGCAAGATTTGGATGGAAGGGAAACAGCAGTCATACCGTACTCGCACACTCTGTTACTCGAATCCAGCTATTCACTTCATGAAGGGTTTTACAGATGTGAAAAAAGTCCCACATCAAGTGACCCAGTTAAGAAGATGATCTCATGTGAGCCTCACTTCCCTGCACAGACGCTGCCTGTGGACATCAGCTTCAGCTGGACACATGGGCTTCCAGCTCGCTGCTGTGTCCCCCGCCCCGAGTCCGAGGCTTTGGACTTGTGTATCCAGTCCTAACAAATGCATGGTCAAAGTCCTTAATATTTCTTGTCATCCATCACCCATATGTGGTCTGGATCTCCTGCCAGCTGTGTTTACTTCCCTTACACCAGAGCAGGTAAGGAAGGCGGATGGTCTGTGGGCTTCCCTTGAATCTTCAGGCCCAGCCTTCTTGACCGCTGCTGTCTTTTATATGGCCCTCTTCCGCCACAGAAGACAGAAGTCCCGGGATTCTGAGCAAAGGCTGGTAGGACAGGATGAAGGCAGAGGTGGGAGCGGAGGAAGGGGACAGCAAGAGGTTTGGGGGATGGTCTGGGAAAAGCAGAGAGGAAGCTCTGGAGTGACAGGGGGCGCACAGGAAGTCACACCTACACTCACTTCGTCTGTCTTCCCCAGCACCCCTTCTGTAAGCCAGGAAAGCTGCCCACTCAGCCTATGAGTCATATGGATATGCATAAATATCTCTTAATCCAGTTTTCATGACTTCTGGACAGGGTGTCTCTACATAGCCTGTCTGTTTCACTGTCTGGAACTCACTATGTAGACCAGGTTGACTTTGAACTCAGAAAGACCCACCTGCCTCTGCCTTCCCACTGTTGGGATTAAAGGTGTGTGCCTCTCCAGACCAGGCTTACTTCTAGTTGTTTTGTTTTTAAGATTGATTTATTTTGTTTACAGTGTCTGTCTGCATGTGTGCCTGCAGGCCAGAAAAGGGCACCAGATTTCTTTATAGATGGTTGTGAGCCACCATGTGGATGCTAGGAATTGAACTCAGGACCTCTGGAAGAACAATCAGTGTTCTTACCCTCTGAGCCATCTCTCCAGCCCTAGGTTTTTAACACTAAAAATGTGACCTGTCATTCATATGCCGGCTCTAATGGCACAGAGTGATGACTGCGAAATGCTACCACTTACAAAACAACACACGCCACTTCATGTGCCCCTGTGTATACAGACCGAATACAGACTCTGCTTCGGGGGTGGACTTCACTTGGGGGCTGGAACAAGCAACTGGGCTTTCCATGCACATCTGCTTATAACTTCTATCACTGATGTTCACCTTAGAAACGTGGACTTGCTTATGAACAAACTTTTCACAAACATCATTTTATCTGCTGCACTTGCAAAAGACTGGATATCAACATGCACAGAAGCGGCTGCTGCCATCTGTGTCTCCAAACGCCATCTATGGCGACAACGACACAGCCCTCCCCATGAAGGTATTTCCACTGACAATTTTATCTGGCCTCAGCAAATAATGACTTCTGCCAGCCCATTCACATCAGGGCACAGCCACTTACCCCGTGGGCTCACTGGGAAAGGGAGAAACCCCGGAGCACACAAAGTTTCTAGACTAGAGAGGGAACACAACTGGAACCTGGCATCTGTCGGGGGATGCAAGTTAAGGAAGAAAACAAACGAAGCTATGATTGCCCCCGAGGAGGCAGGGTACCATGGAAAGATTTTCATCAGCAGGATAGCATTGTGAGGCTGGGCCTGAGCAATTATCTATGGTCTCTAGAATCATGGATGCAAAGGGCAATGAGGGCAGATCAACTTATTTTGTATTCTTAAAAACCCACAGAGAAACTTTGTGTGATTACAAAGTATCCAGATGGGAGTGGGCTTGCCAGCGGGAACCACTGAGGGCAGGGCTCTCGTGGTAGGGCAGCTGAATGTCCCGAGAAGACAAGTATGTGTTGTAGGCTAGGTGGAATTTGCTTAATGGGTTGCACATTTGACATTGTAGGTCAGCTCTTCGGGGGCCAGGAGACAAAGCTTATTATATAATCACAGACTTGTCCTCGCTGGGAATGAGTACTGAGGAAAGACAGCGTCTGCTGTTTCCAAGCTTTCTCCGGCCAGCCAGTTGCTGAGGTGAGCAGCCATCAGAGGCGTGCTTTGAGAGCCGAGTCTGGTCTGGGATGTCTGCCCCTCGCACTTACCTTATGTTGTCTCTGGAGAGGTCAGCACGGGTCGTCCTCCTGGTAGGCAACTGGGGGCACAACAGCAGAGCCAGGGATGAGAAGCTACCGATTGCTGGCTGTTTGGCCATTTGGTCACTTTTTTTTTTTTCCATCTACAGTAACATGCTCTGTGGGACTAAGGACAAAAGCCTCTTCAGTTCTGGCAGTCTCTGCTGCACATGGTATCCATATCCAAACCGCATCAAACTCCAGTGTTTGTTTCTGGTCTGTACAGACTTCTCTAGAAAGGACAAAGCTTGGTGCTTCACCAGAGGAAGCCACTGGGTGCTCCTGGTGTCTTTGAGATGATTTGCTTCCTTCCCGCATTTAAACGTTTACTTCGGAACAGGTAAATAAACGTAAATAATCTTTCCTCACAGAAAGGCCGTGTGAAGGTCAGCCTGTACTACACGTATTCAGGAGGTGGCTGGAAGAGAGAGGGGTTGGCTTTGAGCGGATGACATCTTTATCTCCAGATGGAGATGCTGCCAACTCTTCTTGGCAATGGGCCAGATACATGCCGATCTTAAGAGATCCTCTTCTCTTTTCTTAAAACTTAGTTTTCGGTCAACCTCTGTGCCTCCTGGGAACACAAATTTACTTGATCTAGAATTGATATACTCGCGTGTCATTTTTACCAAGTGCTGAAAACATGGACGACAGGGGTCAATGGGGGAAGATTTCACATCCAGAGCCTTGAGGAAGCTAATGTGCTTTGTTTACTCAGTTCAGATGTACCGAATTTTCACTATGTATGACTGTCATTAGGACCTTTGCAAAAAAAAAAACAAAAAAACAAAAAAACACCTCATTTGACCTTTCCAACACCATGAAACATGCTATCGTGGTAAAATGGTCTCCAGTTTTCCCAGTGATGAGGGTAATGGGGGACGTTCAGCAGAGTCTGCCCCTCCTCTCTGAACTTTTAAACATTGTTGAGACTGTGATAGACTATGGGGACTTCTGAAGTTGGACTAAACGCATTTTCCATTATGATATTGTTACAAGCTTATGGGGGTCAGGTCAGGGAGTGGAATGTGATAGTTTGAATGTAATTGGCCCCCATAATCTCATCGGGAGTGGCACTATTAGGCGTGGCCTTGTTAGAGTGGATATGGCCTTGCTGGAGGAAGTGTATCACTGTGGGAGCAGGTTTTGAGGTTCTCTATGCTTAGGATACTGCCAGTGTCTTAGTCAACTTCCTGTTTCCTGCAAGCCAAGATGTAGCCAGTACCATGTCTGCCTTCATGCTGCCATGTTCCCCGTCAAGATGATAGTGAACTGAACCTCTGAGACTGTAAGCAGGCTACCCCATTTAAATGTTTTCCTTGTAAGAGTTGCCATGATAATGGTGTCTCTTCATAACAATAAAGACCCTAGCTAAGATACTGGGAGAGGGAAAAGTTGGTTTGGCATATGAATTCTGAATTGACAATGCTCCAGGGAAGGCCTCACAGCCGACACCCAACACACGCACACACACACACAAATATACTTTCTCAAAAAGAAAGGAAGAGGAGGAAAGAAGAGAAAAAGGAGCTTGTTTAGATTTAAAACAAAAAAAAACCCGCAAGTTCCAGCAATACGCTGCCAGAGATTCCCATTAAATTAAAGGATAAAAAAGTTGGGGTAAAAAGAAAAGAGAAAAAAAAAAAAGACACCAAGCAAACAATAATCATGAAAGAGCTGAAATGGCTACAGTCATTACAGTGAAATAAACTTTAAGATAAGAACTATTAAATTCAAAGGGTATCCTAAACGGTAGAGGATCAGTACATTAGAAAGATACAGCAAATATAAACAGACTCCTAACATGTATACATGAAACAAAAGAATGACAGAACTGAGAGATGTATGATTAAAGTCAGAAATGAACATACCCCACACAGTAAGAAATGATCTTACATTTCCATACCTATCTGTGTTATGTCTGCATGTGTGACTGTATTCACTTGTGTCTCTGTGTGAGGGTATGTGTTTGTGTGTTTGCACGTGTGTGCCTATGTGTCTGTATGTATGCGTGTGTACACGTGTGCAGAGGACAGATGGTAGCTTTGGATTCCTGGACTTGGCATTAGACAGAGGATGCTGGGACCTGAACTCAAGTCCTCCACCAGGAAAGCAAGTGTTCTGAAGCACTGAGGCCTCGCTGCAGCTCTCCATATCCCATGCTTCCCAGACCAAAAGGCACAACTATCAGCACAGTCACGGCAGACTTGGCAATGCCATTAACCATAAGCCTACTGCACACTGAAAGCTATCGGAGACCATATACAAGCCTCTATAAAAGAACTGGAATCTTTCAAACTATATTCTCCAAAAACAATGGAAAATAGGGAAAAACTCAGGGTGTGTGTGTATATGTTGGGGGGAGGGGTGTTCCCAAATTCTTGGAAATAAAGTGACATATTCCCAAACAATGCATAGATCAAAAAACAGTCATAAGGAAAATCAGTGAAAACTAATACACAAATACTGATATTTATGAGTTGAGCTTAACACTGCATCTGGCTGGTCACATACACAAGTAATCAAGTCTGTACTTTTTGAGTCGATTTCAAGCATGATGTCAAAATACCATTTCTAGACTATAAACTACAAAATAAATCATGACAAATCTACAGATTACACACAACTTTATTAAATACTTTAACACTGCAAATAAGTCAGCATATAAATATAAAAGCAGAGGGCTGGGCAACTGACGAAAGCGCCACACAGAAGCAGATCACACAGCACAGCACCACCAAACCTCAAGTGATTGCATGAGAAAACTTTACTCGGGCACATGAAAACTGGCAGACCCCGGAACTGATTTTCAGTATAAAGGATTCCCATCCAGCCCCTCGTGTAAATAGTATTGATTCTTCTAAACTAGGGCACATGATTAGTCTAGATTGGCAAATGGGCTGTCAAAGCCACTATCTTGTTGGCTAGTCAGGGGAGCAGCTAACTTTCTCGAAGGCTTCTGACACACTGAAGATGGTCCTGGGCCACTCAGTTTTCTGAAGTCTGGCTTTAACATATCAGTGGCCTGCTGGGGTGAGTGGCCCAGAGGCGTGCCCATCCTCCTTTGCTGGGAATGCAGGGCTTCTCTGGGCAGTTCTGCAGGGTAACCACTCTGACAATCCAGATCATTTTTCTGGGCATCTGGTAGACAGACTGCTGAGAATTGTTGCAATTGAACAGAGTCCCCCAGCACCTCCCGAGTACTTTGGGAGCTCTCGTCCAGAGACAGCCCAGCCCGACTGCCACAGGGTAGAGCACTATCAGAAAGCCAGCCTGGAGAGCCACTGGGGCCCCCTCCATCCTTCACTGGAGGGTCCTGAGTGCCCACACCCCGACTCTTCTCAGATGCGGCACTCTCGGTACACATAAGTGCTTTGAACCTTGGCGTCTCACTGGGACCTCTAAGGCGTGGGTGGACGGATCCTGAAGCGCATCTAGGTGAAGACTTCTTTTCGGCAGTTCTGAGGAAAGGGGTGGCTGAATGAAGAAGTGACTCAGAGCCAGCTCGACTGGGTGGGTCTTTCTTCTCGCGCAAATCCAAGCCGCCTTCACCCCTGCATGGAATAAACTCAGGAGCAACGTTCTTTGCCAAGATGTCTGGGGGCCTGCAGCTCCCTTCCCCACACTGACAGTCTGAAGGCGAAGCTGTGGAAGGCACGGGCTTTCTTTCTCTGTGTTCTGGATCCTCTAAGCGCCTCTGTAAACCAGATGCAGCCGTCCGCCTAGGAACTTGCTCACACACACTTCTGGGGATGGTTTTCCCACTGTTTGGTTTGCGTTCACTGTAATGTGGAATACTCTGATTCACATCGCTCCTTTCTGATCTTTCAACGCCCATCAGCATCTCTGAAGTCAAGGGAAATGCTACTATGTGCAAAAGAACAAACAGGAGCACAAGAAAGAATTAAGAGAAAATTAACACTTTATAGAGAAGAATATAAAATTTTGTGTATTATTAAAGAAAATGCATCAGTGCTAGACAAATAAAATTTTCTTTTACTCATGTCCATAGAAATGGTAGTTTTTGTGGCTGAAACGTTACAAACTGTGTTGGCTAGTGTCATGTCAACTTGACAACTGCTGGAGTCACCAGAGAAGGAAGCCTTATTTTCAGCATGCCATCTTTTTTTAAGTAGGTACTACAATATTTTAAGAGCTGACGGCGATTCAACGTTGCTCTGAGTCTGAGGTCAAGCATGAAGTTTCTGACAAAGAAAGCCCAGGAGAACAACCCCATCTCTCTAGTGCTCAGGGCGAGCATTCTCTGTAAGTCAGGACAGGGCACTGGATCGGAGGAAAAACAGCCACAGAACTGTATTTCAGTGGTCATCTTGCAACCCTGAGTTGACCGACAGAAGCTGGTTCTCCTGGACACATGATTTTCACATCCTTGTTCTGACACCAAAGGATGGCTCTCTTACTTGCCACTGCCATTTGTACCTCAAGCGACCAATCGAAAACCTCCACAAGTAACGCTTGTGACTCTGAGAGAAACATTCTGGGTGTCTGAACAATCTCTGCTGCCAGGTGACCAGAAGGTCAGAAGCTGAATTTCCACAAGAGCATGTTAAACATGTCTAATTGGGAAACAGTAATCTTCTTCCTGTGTTTCTACCAGTGTTTATTTTTGAGACACTAAAGCTGTGCTATTCAGTCTCATGGGAGACCATCTCATTATAACGGGCCCCTCTAATGTGTGTGCTACTTTGTCCACTCACGTGATTACGTTTAAATTCTAATGGCCCCATTTCATCTCCTTGTTATCATTCTGTTACCTTGAGTTCTATTTTCACGAGAACTCAGCATCAGTATTTGTAAAACCCTTACCCCATTCACATCCAGTGGTTGCTGATGTTGCAAACTACTTTTAGTGTTTGTTTATGCATGTCTTCTAGCCTTTTCTCTTCCTTGATTTTGGTAGACTAAACCTTTCCTTAAAAGATTTTCCTCTAGTAGTTTGGAAGTCATATATTCATTTCTTCTCCGCTTTCCTAAAGTTTACATCTTTCTAAGAACATTTACTATCCTGCTGAACATCCTCAGGTTCTGCTTTTGAAGTATTCTTGTCTTAGGTACGCATTCTGTTAGCTTTGTTCTGCATCTGTTTCTGCATCTCTCTCGTGATGATGTTCTTTAAATAAATGATGATTCTTGGTTAATTGTTTATCTCTTAGATGTCTTGAATGCAGTGTCTGTCTGTGCTGCATGACTGAGGAGCTGTGTTACAAGGAGGCAAAAAGACCTGAGAGCTGATGCTCAGGGATAGAGGCTAACAGTACATTCTTCACGTCCAGATACCTGCTCTGCTTCCACTTGGCCAACACTACGGTTGGGGAAGGAAAAGAGAAACGAAATGGGAAGGAGAGGGGGAGGGAAGGAAATTGGAGAGAAGGGAGAAGGAAAGGGGAGAAATAAAAGCAGTGCTTCCACGTGGGCACTGTCTACATCACCAGCTTATCACTGGCACCCACGGGCCACTGCTTCTCCTGGGACACACGATCCCACATGTGAAATAGGTTTACTCCTACTTTTGCTGTTGTGGGGCAGTTTTGAGCTGAGGTTTCCCATTTTCTCACACATCCTACAACTTCCGTCTATCAACTGCAACCACTTGAAATCTAGTTACAATTTTGCCTTTTTGTTCATGCTTTGTCATTTAAAATCTTGTCCACTTCTCAGGATGGATGCCACAGTGGCAGCTGGTGAGGCTACGCAGCCTACTTGTGGAAACCACAAACCAGTTTTCTCCATTCTCCTTCCCCCTCGTGCAACCTTCTAAGTCAACTCTGACTCCTTACAGAGCCACCCCTTTTCATACAGAGAACACAGGATATCCAGTGAAGAGAGACCCACCTGAGGGGCCTGCCTGTGCACACCTGACTCCGCAGTCTGACTCCGCGATTGTCCCCAGCAGCTCTGCCATTGTAGCGAGTTTGCTAGCAGCATTCATAATCTTTTTCTCCGCTCTGTGGGGCATTCCATAATATAAAATCAAAACAGTTTAAATGAAACACACAAGACTGCTCAGTCCTGGGATTGTTTCCATTATTAAGTTCTGCCAACACTGAGGGAAACCCAGCCTAAACTTCATGATCACCTAAACAGTTAATTCTGTGGTTAAGGAAACAATGGCACACAGCCCTGGTGCGGTCGGGACATGCAGTGTACACTGAACTCACCCCTCCTCCTTTCCATTATCCTGCAGGATCTGCTGAAGGCAAGTCAGGTAATACTTGCGCATCTTCCGGGCAGTTTCCTGCCGTTCCCGTAACACTTCTGCCTTTACCATTTCTGCAGCTCTTTCCTTGCTCTCCTGAATGTATCGAAGCATGTCACCTGCAGAGGGTGGAGAATCCCAACTTTCACTGTTTTTCCAAAAACAGGCGGTGCAAACTTCAGACCAGTTTTCTGGCAGATGAGGTGAAGGAAGCATGGTTTAAACGTTGTGCTTTCCATGGTCTTTAGAACAGAACACTTCCCAGTGCACTTTGGTGGACTCAAAAGAAAAGCACTGTTAGTCCTAAGATGGAGATGGCTGCACGTGGGGAAAACCACGATGTATTCTGTCATATTCTAAGGCACTCAATGCAGTGAGCAGGAGCATGTGTTCTACTGTGCCTTATGATTCTGCTGAGAAAGAAATGCCCAGGAGTGAGCAGAAAGGCAGACACTGGAAAGGAGGAAAACTCATATTCTCTGTGTTCTAGAAATCTCTAGTCCATTCTTGTAGTGCTATTTCATTTGTATTTTAATAAATGAAGCTTGCCTGAAGATCAGAGAATAAAACAGTCACATGGTCAGTTATACAGACCAGGCAGTGGTGGGACACCTTTAATCCCAGGAGCCACACTAGTTTGTCATAGAAACTGGGTGGTAGTGGTGCATGCCTTTAATCCCAGCCCTGAGAGGAATATAAAATGGGAAGAGACAGGATTGCTCTTTCAGTCTGAAGATCTCATAGAGGTAAGAGCTCTCTGGTGGCTGGCTGCTGTGTTTTCCTGATCTTCAGTTTGAAGCCCAATATCTGTCTCTGGGTTTGTATTAACCGTGCTACACATCCTTAGCCGGCGTTTTCAGCATCATCTATGGAAGAGTAAACAACTCACGAGGGCTGTACAAGGTGTTCTGCAGAGCGGGGAGAACCGTGCTCCCTTCGGAAAGGCACATAGTCTTACTCCATACCTTTCTCTTCGTCAGCGTGGCTTTCATTCGCGCTACTGCTGGTTAAGCTAACTTTTAAAACCTAGATCTAGGGCTGCACTTGACACCTTACTGTATTAGGAATGGCTCTCACACAGGGGTGCCCTGCCGGTGCCAGTAAACTTCTGAAAATTAGACGCTCTATGGACAATGCTAACTGGGGGTCCACTGTCCCTTCTTTCCAATGAGAAAATTAAAATGATGTTGCCACAAAACCTCCAATTACCCTTCTAAAAGTTAACTAAAACATAACGTGTGTTATATCAGGATGAAAACGGCTTAATTTCTACTTCTCAATGGAAACGTGTAAGAACTGTTTGTTCTAACCATGCCCTTTGCTAGCACAAAGAATTAGAAATCTCACTGATGGTGCTGATCGGCCTTTCACATCTAAGGGACTCTGATACCTAACAATTAGAATCTGAGACCTTTCCTGCCTTTTGTGAAAGCAATTTTAGGAGGAAAGTACGTTCCTCTGCACTTCTGTAGCTGAAACGCAGGAGCCTGTACTCTGGAATCCCTGAGCTGCTCTACAGAGCGGCGGTGCTGACGCAGCCATGGCAGAGTGGGAGTCGCTGGGATAAGAGAGAATAACACTGACTGGATTCTCCCACAGTCCCTCTGTCTACAACAGGAAGCTGCCGCAGGTGACACACTGGCCTCTCCCTGCCCTCCTCTGCCCCTCCCGCACAGGCTGCGGAAGCTCTGCCTCTGAGCCATGTTCCAGTCTTCCGTCGCATGTTCTTCGGTGCAAGTTTTTATGTTGTGAGGTTATTACATTTTAAGGCAATTTGTTTCTGATGACTAGACAAAGACCAAAAAATGATAATCAAGAATATAAAAGTAACTGCTCTTGGGAACTAGAGATGACTCACTGGTTAAAAGCAGTGGCTTCTCTTGCAGAGGACCAGGCTTTAGTTCCCAGCATCCACACAGTGGCCCATAACCACATAACCATAACTCCAGTGCTTGCGGATCTGACACCATCTTCCGGCCTCTACAGCAGCCGGCATGCACATGGTGCAGACACACACACAGGCAAACTCAAATACAGATAGAATAAAAGTAAATGTTAGAAAAGAAACCCATTTGTGTCACGTGGGCAAACTAATCCATTACTGTGCAGTTTTGAAATGACATCAATAATCTAAGGCTGAAGAAAAGGCAGTTTGGAAAATTCACTAAAATGACAAACCCTGAGTTTCCACTTCACAACAGTGCAAGAGGCCTACAGCAGCAAGGATCTTGACAATCTCTTTAGGGACTCACGTTTAATTTTTTTAACCGCGTTAATGTACTGCCCACGGAGTTCTTCCAAGGCCTGCCTACTGCATGGCGGCCATGAGGTCTCAATGGCTCCTTCAGACAGCGACCTAAGAACAACAACAGATCACAAAACAACAGAGGCTGTGATAAAAACGTCACCTGATAAGTTACATTCATTCCTACAATAATAATATAACCTGAGATGTGCCCAGAATTCCACACAAAGGAACCACTATTATTCGGTTATTTAATATAAGAGGAAGGCCAGGGCGGAAGCTCTGGTGGTAGAGGGAAGCCCTGAGTTCCATCCCCAGAAATCAAGACTCATGGTACACACCTATAATCCCAGCACTCACTGGACAGAGGCTGAAATTAATTCAAGGTAATCTTGAGCTACACTTGAGGCCAACCTTGGGGACATTAAACCTTGTTTCAAGAACAAAACAGAAAAAGGAAATCAACAAATCAACATTACGATTGCCTAAGTAAACACTGGCAAATCCACGAAATGAATATGGACAGAGCCACTGAAGGGCACAGTGCAGGAGGTTCCCAGTAACACAGGGAAAGGTTTCTCTGCTCTTATTAGTGAAGGGCCACAATAAGCCCCAAATCCTAACTTTTTGAACATCATACACATGGCGTGTATATATAAACAGCCTAAGTGACAGAAAACAGTGCACTAATGCAGCCTTTCCTATGAATCTGTTCAATGTGAATAACACATTAAACACATCCAGGATGACGTTTCTACTAATTACCAAGGTGCTTAGAAACGAAATGGTCTTAAGGTTTACCGTGGCGGTGATCTGCAAAGGGCCCTCAGGGCTTCCAACTTATTCTTCATGTCATTGTTTTCCTCTATTAGTTCTTCAATCACTCTGCTGTTCTCTTCTGTAACGGAAAGTGAGCATTAATCTTCCTTCCTAAGTTCCTACGAAAGCACCTTCAGAGGGGGCTGCCGACTTCCAGTTCTCTCCCATGTTCTCACTCCCCAGTGAGCCCCGCACTGGACCAGTTCTCTCCCGTGTTCTCACTCCCCAGTGAGCCCCGAACTGGACCAGTTCTCTCCCGTGTTCTCACTCCCCAGTGAGCCCTGCACTCCATCTTCCCTTATGCAGTTTCTCAATATTTAAAATGTTTCCTCTTCACCTCCACTGCACACATCCTGAAACTGGTGTTCAACTGTCTGGTGTGCGTGTGCTGACCTTCCCAGCTAACTAGAAGCTCTCCAGAATGGGTCTGCTTCGTTTTTTGCAGTACTTCATCTGGAACTCAGTGGTGTACATCGTATGTGAGAATTCTACCAGCAAGCTACATTCCCCAATGCTCAGTCCCTAGTATAGTTTATGATCATAAAAAAAAATCGTTGAGCAAGAACCTCAACAGAAAATACCCCAAAGTATGTGCCATTCTTTTACATGGTGTAAGGTATTCAGGAGAGGCTAACCGAGCCCAAGGGCTATGAAGTAGAACATGCGTCCTGCAGGGTGCAGATCCAAGATTAAGTAAGCACTAACTCAATTTGCTGGCTGGATGGGCCTGAGCAAATTCCTTATCTTTCGAAGCCCGAGTTTGTCCCACATGCAAAATGAGGACAGCGTTACATATCTTAACAGATTATATCTGACACATCAGTGCTCAGCGACTGAACAAAGCAGCCCAGCAGCAGAGCTTATGAACTAAACACTACACCAGGCATGGCGACACATTCTTAACCTCAGTGCTCTGGAGGCTGACACAGGTGGATCTCTGAATTCAAGGTCGTTTAAGCCTCCAAAGTGAGTTCTAGGCCAGCCAGGGCTATGTAATGAGATCCTGCCTCTAAGTAAATAAAGCAACTCTTTTATGATCATGGTGTACAATGTTAAATATTATTATATATAAATTACAACCACTGCAGAGGGCTTAGCAAGATAGTGTTCCAATCCAGGTCAAATATTAACTATATATAAATTACAACCACTGCAGAGGCCTTAGCAAGAAAATGTTACAATCCAGGTCAAATATTACTATATATAAATTACAACCACTGCAGAGGGCTTAACAAGAAAGTATTACAATCCAGTCCATTTTTAGCTGCCTTTACGAAGGACAGACGAGCAGATAGGAAAGGGAGCAGAAAGGCTCGAGAGTCAGTGCCAGCATCCAGGCAAGACTACACATGAAGTGAATGCAAAAAATAAAAGTGCTTGCTTGACTCCTCCCACCCCTTACACAATTGTCTGGGACCCTGACATTTAGCTTTTTCTTAAATTATTATTATTCATTCAAACCTTTACTAAGTAGTATATTGTGGATACTATGACTCTGCAGAGAAGACAAGGCACATCCTGTATCCTCAGGAAACAGTTTGGATGATAGAATACAGAACAGCAACAGAGAGAATGAGAAACCCATGCGGAAATACAGGACACACAGCTATGCCTAGTATCTAATGGGGAAAATCAGATACGTTATTTTGTGAGTTAATCCAAAAGCATGAAAGTTAGACCTAAAACTAAACAGCGAGTCATGTACACATGACATAGTGATAACACCATAGGTAAGGCTCAATAGCCAAGAAAACAACTGGGAACATTTCAAATGTACAGTCAAGAACACAGGGAAGAGGTGAGTGAAGAGGAGAATGGAGGAGCCATGCTAGGCCAACAGCTCCCTTCTTCAGAGGGGCAATGGCAAATGGTAGCGGATAACCCTGACAGCATGCCCGAGAGGACTGGATGGAAGCTACCCAGACCCACAGGCTTTACTTCTGCTAGTCCCACTTCCCAGAGTGAAGCTCGTCTTGACAAACACTTCCCTTTCCAGTCACAGAGCACTGCCTGACACACACTTAGGCCTTCGATGTCACATAATCAAGTAAGATATTTACTAATATTAATTAGTAAATATAGATCCAGACTGGATTATATCAGTTTGGATATAACGGTGCCACTGGTGCCCACGTTAACAACAACGTGCCACTTGACCATGTTGGCCAGGCCCCGTCAGCCTTCTACAGTAGCAGCGAGCCTGCAGCGCTAACCTCCAAGCTTCTCCACTGCAGCTCTGTGTGTCCTTTCTAAGTGCTGAAGGAGCCTGCGGCTCTTCTCCAGTTTCCGTCTCAGCTCCTGACACTCCTGCTTTCCCTTTTCAAGCTCCTGGAAGCAGTGTTCACAGCAGAAAGCTTTAATTTCAAAGCTCTTTTTATCTGGAAAAAAATTAAATGATACAAAACCTTTTTATAAAACTGTTTGGGTTACAGGATAGTAAGAAAAAAGAAACCCAGATGGCAGAACTCATGACCAAAGGCCAGAGCATAATTGAAAGAGCAGGGTGTTCAAGAGAGAGGCCAGGTCTAACTTCGGTCCCAATACTCGCTGGCATGGTTACTTAGCCTCTGACATTGTTTTGATACATAAAACTCAATAATGTCATCCAGTTTATAACGGCTACAAAACCAATGCCCAGATCTTAATATTGATTACCATTCCCCATAAAGAAAACTTTTTAACAGAATTTTTAAGAAATGGCTCCCTTTAAAAGTAGATGTATATACAAAATGAAACAGAAATACCTTGAAAAGCCAGACAGTAAGGAAAGAACTAAAAATTATGAGCACAGAACAAGGACACAGGTGATAATCTCCCTTGATGCTGCTGAGCAATGTGAGAGCTGATTAAATCCACGAACTAACTATAAAGCACTGAAGAAGAAGAACATGTGAGTCATACAGTACTGACTCGGATGGAGAGACAGGTAAATAGTTGAACGGATGAACCAGCAAGTAAAGTTTTTTTTAGTTATAAAAACATGCTGAATGCCAACTGATAAATGTAGAGAACTGTTCGGGGTTGGAAAACTTATCATTTTTCAATGAGGCCAATAAAGACAATCAGGCAAGAATCACCAGTGCCTGCCATGCTTAAGAGAAGGCTTTAATGGGAAGGCTGTTCGGTCGGTCCTCAAAGCGCCTCATTGCAGACTGCTTATTGCCGCAGATGGAGGGAGTACAGTAATTTTATAATGAATAAACTGGACACAATTTTGGCCAGGTGATCAAAATTAACCTCAACAATAAAAGAAAAGCGAATACTATGTGCTCCAAATGTGAAAAGATACCACTACTGTAGCCTTCCAGCCAAGAAGACACAATCCAAACAGAGTCATGAGAACAGAAGATAAACCTCAAATGAGTAAGTTCTGTATTGAAAAGGGAGGTCTCCCCCTTTCTGAACAGAAACAGAGGAGGAGTAGATGGAAGGTGGCAAGGTGGGGGATAGGAAATGGGAGAAGAAAGGGGAAATGTGGCCAGGATGTAAAATTAACTAAATAAAAACCAAAACACAAACAAAAAGAATGAGGGGGAAGAAAAGAAAGAATATTAGTCCTCAGCATTTCAAACTGAAAAAAGACAAAGACGCTGTGGGATGATTTACACCAAGGGATGCAAAGGTGTATGGGTATAAGACACAAGGAGAATGAGCACACGCCACAGTAGACAGCCTTTGGGTACCCTGGCAAGATCAGAATGAAACAGCAGGTTGACACTGTAATGTTAAAATTTCTATACTAAGATTATGCAAGGGGAAAAAAAACCCTATTCCTAGAGAACACAGACTGAGGCATTTATGCATAAAATAACACAATGTATGTTGCATACCCTCAGATAGTTCTAGAATGAATATTTACATATATATACACATTACCACAAAACAGAAAAAATGTCATCAACAGGTATTGCTAGCTACTTGAGTGTTTCATGAAACTATTTTATTCTTGTAACTACTTTTTGTAAGCTAGAAATTATCAACAAATTTAAATTTATTTAAAAGTTCTGGGAGCCATAAACAAAATCCTTTGACATATAGTTAAGTACCTGTCATATAGTAAGAGTACAACAAATAACAGTATTACTACCAGTAATACATAGAATTTATAAAATTAAAGTAATATACAAAAGTGTCACCAAAGATAGGTAACTATGACTGTAAATGATACGCTAAAGTAGAGAGAAAGTAGGCACAGGGTAGGTGATGAGTATCTGAGGCACTGAGTCAGTGACCCAGAGACATTATTTGCAGCACCCTCCTGATTTCCCTGTTTCTTTTCAGAGGTGCCAACTTTGTTCATAAACACCACCGAGTTGTAGGAGTATGCACCAGTGCAGCAGGCTGAGTCCAGACTTCTCACTGAAGACTGACGGTAAGACTGAAAACCAGCTAAATGTCCACTCTCAAGAAACAATTATGCCAGCAATATAATAATAATAATAATATAGGCATAAAAATAGGTGAACTAGGGTTTCATCACACGGACAAATCATAGAAGCATGATGTTGGATGGAGGAAAATCAAATTATAAATATAAAATGCATTAATCCATTTCTATCATGTTTTAGTATATATATATGTGTGTGTGTGTGTGTGTGTGTGTGTATATATATATATATATATATATATATATATATATATATATGTTTGTCAAAATAAAAAAAAATAAAACGACTTTTGAAAATCAGACTCTGTTTCCACAGGCTGGGAGATGCTGTGGGGGACTGACTGTGTTAGTCCTGCAGACCCACTATTTCTTAAGCCAAATGGTGGGTTCCTGGCTATAAGCTTTCATAACTTACCACTACTATTCATATTCTTGACATATAGCAAATACTTCATCATCAGTGGTTAAATTACTTAAAATAACAAGATTAGGAAACTATAAGCAAATCTAACATCCCCCCATGGTAACTTCTGGAAGTGGTACTGTGGTAGTTTTAATGTAACTGGCTCTCATAATCTCATCGGGAGTGGCATTAATAGGAGGTATAGCTTTGGTGGAGCAGATATGGCCTTGTTGGAGGAAATGTGTCACTGTGGGGGAGGGCTTTGAGGTATCCTATGCTCATGGATACTACCATGTGTCAGTCAGTCAACTTCCTGTTGCCTCTAAGTCAAGATGTAGGACTCTCAACTATTCCTCTGTCTGCAGGCTGCCCGCTCCTATCAGGATGAGAATGGACTGAACCTCTGAAATGGCAAGTGAACCACCACAATTAAGAGTTTTGCTTTTTAAAAGTTGCCATGGTGTCTTTTCACAGCAATAAAAACCCTAAGACAGATACTAGGATTTAACAGAATAAAGTCTTTCCTAATGAGCTTATGGATACGCTTACAGGAAAAAGACAAGGGAAGAAAAATGAATCTTTGCACAGTGCTGTTGGCCTTTAGCCCAAGCCAGTTTCTTTCATAAGAAGCCAAGTCACGTCTAAATATTGTCTCTACCATTTAACAGATTACAACGTAAATCTCAAGCTATTACAAATGTGATACATGAAACAAAATACAAATTATGGTCCTACTGCCATCCACTAACTCAGTAAGGTACTCCCAGCCAACTAGAACAGAGAGGCAAGGGGAAAGGCTCTGATGAGAGCAAAGACAAGAACTGCAATACTGCCTACTGTGTTAGGTGCATGAGAATGTGTGACTCAATACCCAGGCAGCTATCAGTCTTCTGCAGGTTACAACAAAGGGCGATTATGCAGCAGCAGAGGGTATAGGACAGGAACAGACTACAAAGGTTCAGTATATGGGAAAGGATGGACTCATGATTTGCCAATTCCTAGTTCGGAAATCTCAGGAATAATCAACAGATTCATATTCCCAGGTAAATTCTGAATACGAAGGGCTGCAGCATAGCATAAGAAGTAAGTTACTTAGGGCTGGAGAGATGGCTCAGCAGTTTAGCGCACTGGCTGCTCTTCCGAAAGACCTGAGTTTGATTCCCAGCACCCACACAGGAGCTCACAACTGTCTGCAACCCCACTCTCAGGAGACAGAGTCTACCACTGCCACTTCCTAAACCACTATCCTAAGTAACTACATTCTAATAGCCATCCTTACACCCACAGATAAACAAAGCTCTCTCTCACCTCTCCTTGAAAAACATTTTTTTGCAGAAGATGACACATACACACATCAATAAAAATGAAATAAAAAGAGATCATGAGTTTGGGAGGATGGATGGGAGGGACTGAAAGGGTATGAGGGGGAGGCTAAATGACGTAATTGTATTTTAAGTAAATAAAGAGAGAAACAACTGAAATAAGTTTCAGTGATTTGAATGTAGTCTCCACTGTCCATATTTGGCAATTCCCTTATGTGAAACCCTCGATTTCTCAACAGTCAGGTCTAAATGTCTGACTGGTCTACCCACCTCTCACTCTTCACTCCGTAGCATCATTTGGGAATGGAAGAAAGTCCAGCAGGATGGAAGAGGGTCTAAGAGAACCCTGCCCCTGAATACAAAATGCAATCTAGACAGCAAACAAAATCAGTACCAGTTTCCGCTTCTGCTTCTGGCAAAGCCAAGGACTGAGCACAGCGTCCAGAGGTGGAGACAGGAAGGGGTGCTGGGACTCCAGGGTCTCCTTGGCCAGTGTTCCAGCTGACAGGATCTACGGAGGTCTTAACCATATTCCTCTGAAATAAAATATCATCTTACTTAATACCTGGGGGAAATTCTACAAATATTTGTTTAAAATCCTAACTTTAAAGAATAAAGAAATGTAATTCTAATATTAAAAATACAAAAAGAAGTCAGGCAGTAGTAGTGCGCACCTTTAATTCCAGCACTTGGGAGGCAGAGGCAAGTGAACCTCCAAATTTGAGGCCAGTCAGGTCTACAGAGCGAGTTCCTGGACAGCCAGGGCTACACACAGAGAAACACAAAACAAAACAAAAAGAAAACACTGCCTATCAACAGTCTAGCTCTCTCCATCAGCAGTGTCCCTCTTAGGATGGTACAGGAATAACATCCAAATGCAACAGCCACGGGACAGGAGAGAATGAACAGTACCAGAATTATTCCTGAAAATCTAGCACACTTTCAACGCAACCAGACTCAAATCCACTAGCAACTCTGAATCAGACAGTTTACCTCCTAACATATTCAAAAATAAGTACTTTAAGCCGGGCGGTGATGGCGCATACCTTTAATCCCAGCATTCGGGAGGCAGAGGTGGGCGGATCTCTGTGAGTTCGAGGCCAGCCTGGTCTACAAGAGCTAGTTCCAGGACAGGAACCAAAAAGCTATGGAGAAACCCTGTCTCAAAAAAAAAAAAAAAAAAAAATCCCCCCCCCCAAAAAAAATAAGTACTTTAACATATTCTGTTAGTAGGTGAGAAAGACACTTGAATGCCAAATTAAAGACAGACAATGCTTACAGAAGTGAACCTATTGCACCAGGCCCTTTCTGCATGATGAAGGCTCTTAGTGTCTGTCACTCTCAGGCATTCTACTTACCAAATTCACTGCTTTTAAAGCAGAATGTTCAGATTTTGAACACCTACTAACGCTATCTAGCTTTAACTTGTCTCTGGAAGGTGACAGAACACACTGACTAAATTTGCTTGGAATTTTCCCAATATTTCCATTTTCTTCTATCTATTAGGAACTATTTTAGTAATATCCTTCAATAGTACATTTTCTTAAAAAATTGTCTTTCTCACTTCCTGCATCCTTCCTGTCTTAGCAAGCTTTGGTTTATCTCAATTTTCATGAGCAATTTTAAGCCCTACAGCTTTAATAAGCTATAAATCAGCCTTTCATATTTATGGAATGTGTACAGCACACTTTCATATTTATGGAATGTGTACAGGAATCATTAATTGACCCCCAGTGTCCTGAGCTGTGGTGGCTACAGGGCAGCAGGTCAAGTCCTGCTTCTATGACAAACTAGAGATTAGGCGTGTCAAGCCGTCTTCCTCAAGAATGTAGCTCGACCCACCCACAGACAGCTGTGTAAGTCTCAGCTCTTAGCCGCATTGTCTCATGTCCACAGCCATGAGCCAGACAAGTCACACGGATGAGCTTACACTGCTTGTGCAATTGCAGGCCCTGAAAGACCTCCAGACTGATTTTTGCACTGACATAAAATGAAATGCCTTGAAAATCCCACATTTTCACTATAGGAAAAAAATCACATTTATCAGCAACTAGACCTTGGATGTAATAACCATCTACAATAACACACACAGGAGAAAGGGAGTGCCATTTTTTTCACTTGTAAGGACTCTTTCCTAGACAAACAAATTTGAAGGCAGCAACATGATTTCTTCATCACCTCTATTCCTAAAACCTGTTATTTTTCTTATTTTAATTGTTTCTCCCCAAGATTCTCAATGAAGTATTAAGCAATGCTCATGGGAAGTAATCTTGCCAGTCATTTTTATTGATGGCAACTACATAATAGTAGCATCATTGTAAAATCAAAGATAAACATATGAACTGGATGAACTGGGACGAGGTGGACTGACCATTTCGGCTCCTTTGGTTCTAAAGTTCTGTCCTATTTCATATGTAGGACGCAAACAGGCCAGCAGATGCCAGGGTCAGGAACTGGACCAGGGAGCTGGATTCTCTTTTTCTGGATGGCCAATGACACAGATTTGCCCAAAGTGACTCGCTAGCTTGTCTCCTACACTGAACTCCCACCCTGGCTTATATGCATTTCCAGTAGGCATTAACACCAAATGATGGAAAATGGCCTAGAATAGTCTTGAACAGTGATGTCTTCACAGACCCGAACTCTGATGGCAAAAGCTTGCCTCACAGTCCATTCAGACACTGTCCCACCTGGTCCTGAACACTGAAACGGGCTGGCCACACACTTGAATCCTAAATTGGTCCAGGCTGGTTTCATCTGGCCTCAGACAGTACTTGCATGACTAAAAGGACACAGAGAATTCATTCTGCATGCACTGGTATAGAGCATCTATGAAACTGTACTCCAGGAATTTTGGCAAATGCATCAAAACTCTTGTTCGTTTGTTTCTTTTTAACAATTTTGGGACCTCATTGTCACTTTTTGTATAATAAGACACTGATGTGGGTGGGATTCCCCTCTGTATGCTGTAAATGCCACTGGTTACTAAAGGAACTGCTTTGGGCCTATAGCAGAGCTATAGGGGAACAGAGCTAGGTGGGGAAAACTAAACTGAATGCTGGGAGAAAGGAGGCAGAGCCAGAAAGAAGCCATGGAATCTCCACCAGAGACAGACGCACTGAAACTTTGCTGGTAGGCCATGACCTTGTGGTGATGCACAGATTAATGGAGATGGGTTAAATTAAGATGTAAGAGTTAGCCAATTAGAAGCTAGAGCTAATGGGCCAAACAGTGATTTAAACAATATAGCTTCTGTGTGATTATTTCAGTTCTGGGTGGCCGGGATGAACAAGCAGCCTCCTCCAACAACACAAATTCATTGAGGACAAGAAATTGACTTCTAACCTCTTCAGAAAAAAACAAAACAAGAAGCAAACAACCCCCTGTCTTAATAAGACATGTACTTCTTGAAGTGGTTAGGAACACAATTATTTAATTGCTCAAATTTTATGCTTTTATAAAGAATAACACACACATATATTAAGTAATAGATATCTAGAGGCTAAATGCCCTGCCTCATAGTAGTAGAGCTATGAAGCAATTTTAAAAAATATATAAAATAAAAAATAAAAAACTAGCAACAAATGTAATCCATTAGATCTGCTGCAATAAAGTTAGTTTCACTGGGGAAGACAAACATCTTAACCTATTAATAGTAAGATGAGGATGAGAGAAGCCCACCAGACTCACCTTCTGCACCACCCCTGGCATGCAACAGCTTTCTCGACTCTAAGAACATACCTTTTCCCACTCGGAGGCGGCATTGTCTGTATGCAAGGGCACCGTATCGTGAAGTGCTTTCTGTATGCAGGCTTTTACTTTCTCAAAATACTGCACAGATATCCATTTTGAAGAACAAACTGACATGACTTCCAAAAGCTGCCTGTCCTGTGAATCACCAGCGTCCTCCTTCCGGGTGTCCCGTAGGAGAAACTCAAGCACAGTGAGGATGTCTTCCCCATACTGATGGATTTCCAGTTGCGTCCGCTCAGCCTCCTGCACTGTCCACTCCCTGTGACTCTGGTCCAGAGATGCCTGGAATTCTGTCTCCTTCCGAAGAAGTAGTTCAGTTTTCTGCTTCACAAAGTCCTCTTTAGCTGCTGTAAGCACCTCGTTAATTTTATTTCGATGCTCATCTAAAAACTGCCGATAATCTTCCTCATTTTGTTCTTGAATCCTATGAATTTCTTCCTGTTTTTCTCTGTTCCATTCAGTTCGAGCCTTCGCCAGCTCAGCCCTGACAACCACAGGGACTTCTTCATCCTTTAACTCCAGTTCCTTCTGGAGAGAGTGAATTTTCTCTTCCAGTTCCTTGACAGCTATTATATTTGGCTTCACATTTTCAAGCTCACTTTTCCATTTCTCTTTAGCTTCAGAGAGAGCAAGTGACAGCTAAAGGGCACAGCAGCAAGGCGAGAGGGTCAGCAGCACTCATCTGAACGTCTCTGGCAGTCTTTAGTAACAACAAATCCTAAGGTCTGGGCTAACCTCCCAACTAAACAAGCAATTTAAAATAAAAAATAAAGGGAAAAACAAATCTAGATGTGACATACATTCTGTAAAATCTGCTTATACTAGACTTAAGGCTATTCTTTTCTTATTTTAGTGCGGGCGTGCCCTCACCTGTGATGTGCCAGAGGCCGACACCAGGACTCCCTCCCCTCATGCTCCGGCTCACATTTCAGAGTTTCTCACTACCCCTGAAGCTTGTTGTTCCACCAGAATGGCTGGTCAGCAATCCCCCTTGCTCCTGCCATCTTCAGCCAGGCCCAGGTGCACACGAATGGCTTTCTGTGGGCTCTGAGGGTCCAAATCCAGAACCTCATGCTTGCACAGCAAGCACTTTGCCCACCGAGGCAGTGGAATCCTCCTGCCTCAGCCTCCCGAGTGCCAGGGTTGTAAATGCCTCTGTATTCTTGGAGACCTTGTGGTCTTACCCAACTATGATTTTCTGACTGCCGAGTCTCATACTGTTTCCTCTTCTCTCTCCCTCTGAGATACTTACTTTGAGTTACTTCAGACACACAAAAATAAGAAATATTCATATACTTACTATTATAGTAAGAAAATATTGAAAGGTTACTATTTGTTTATTTGAGACAAAGTCTCATGTATCCCAGGCTAGCCTCAAATTCTCTGTAGCAAAAGATGACCTTGAGCATCAGACCTCAAGGGGCTGGGTTACAGGCAAGTCCCAGCACAGTGTCATCTTTCAAAAGTTTAACGCTATCAACCAAAATTTTATTGTGACACACAGCTGGGTAAAACTACTTTCCCCAAAGTGTTACTGGGTTGCCACAAGACTTTGCACCATGGAGCAACCAATCCATTCTTCGTTCTCTGGCAGTGAAACAATCTGCTAAACATTTACTCAAATTTGGGCCTATCCCTCAAGTTTGTCTTGTATAGTGTGTTGCTGTGATGCAAGGCAGTTTTTGCCTTCAAACACATTCTGCAGTGTGGACTACAACACCTTTTTCAGAACAGTGGGAAAAAGGCTAGCCCTTTATTTTTCAAAATAAATTTTAGAATTACTGTGCCAAACTTTAAAGTTATTTTCCGCTTGCTTGCTTTTTGACTAAATTAAATGGGGGGGGGGGGTGCACACCTGAATTTTTCTTTGGAAGAGCATGAACTCTCTAGAGAGCTGGGTATTTTCAAAGTGAACAGGCTCCAAGACTACAGACAGTTCAGGAAATCTTCACACACATGAAATAATAACAGGGAGCAGAGAACTGTTCTCAATCACAACAAAACAGTCCGTAATAAATAATAAAACGGGGTTAATTTCTAAGTGCAGTCATCTCTCGGATGATGAGAGACTCAAGGTGCTGAGATCACAGCCTTCACCTCCAGTGAGACAAGAGCAGATTCCACCTGCTTAGGCTGAACGCCAAGAGCAGACGTACATTCCAGGGTGGAGGTGGGAGGCTATGGACAGAATCGCATAGCACTCACCCTCTGCGCCATGGCCAGTTCCTGCTGCTCCGCCCACTCCTGCTGCTGGGTTCTCAGCAGCGCCTTGTACTCTGCAAGCTTGGGCAGCTCCTGTAGCCAGCGACTGCGGGCATTCTGCACAGCTGTTTCCACCTACAGGAGATGACAGGAGAGAGGCATAGCAAGGGTAAAGCTTCAGAAACTATGACCTCACACATGTTTTACATTGTGTCTCCCTGCTTTACAACCACACTGACTTCATACCAAACAGGAAACAGCAATCCTTCTTTCTAAATTCATATCCTGTCCCCTGCAAAGGGGAAGTGGGAATCTGTATCTGATGAGCAATGCAGCCATCAGAAGCGTCATACAAAGTACTATCAATCATTTCCAACAAAGTTCTATTTATCCTGGTAGAAAAACTAAAGTACGCCAAAGGGTCACCTAGTGCCACCTGTCAATCATTATACTCACCACCTCCTCGCTCCTGCTTGACCAACACACCCTATGAGTACATACACAGACATGCCTCATGCAAGCACAGATTGCTGCTGTCAAGAATGAATTTGGACATAAGAATGCACATAACCCTTCAGATGCAGACAAGAACTCAGGCGTGATGAGCTTTACAGGTGAGGGGTGATAACCCGTCAGCAATTACATGAACAGAGCTTATTGCACTTCTTCTTCCTAACACAGATATACACATGGCAATGCAGCGCTGACACAAACAGCTTCCCGTGACAGTACTAACTGCACACGCACAGAAACTCCAGCTGGTTCACCTAGAGCAAGAAGATAAGAGTTCCCACAGAAATTTATGTCTTCTGGAGACATTTACTCCATATCGTGCTAGCTTTCCTTACCTTTCTTCATCTGATCTAAAATCTCATATATACTGAGAAGCACTCTTAAACACTTCTCTAAGAAACGTTCTTTTAACCGTAGTAAAGACTTCAGAAGATTGGGGGCCTGGGACTCCCTTTGTAGACCAGGATGGTCTGGCACTCACTATGTAGACCACGCTGGCCTGGAAATTTTGGTAATCCTCCTGCCTCTTCAAGTGCAATACCAGTTCCATTTCAGGACACTTTAGCTGATGGAAGGTGTCATTGATATGTCACATGTTCATTTGCCTATGTTCCTGATTATAAGATATCCTAAAATAACACGCAGAATAATGCATATATATATATATATATATATATATATATAGCCAAGTATTTATCAAAAGCTAAGGATATTTAAATACCTTACTTCAGTTACTGTTTTTGGTTTTTCCTCTTTTAGTACTGGGACTGAAATGAGGGCTTTCTAGTGCTGGGAATGCATGCTGTTACCAGTCTACATCACCAGGCCAGATGGCTTCTTATTAAAATAAAACATATAATAGGTTTTTAAGACATTTCCTGCCTTTTGCACTCTGATCTCTCACACACAAACAGGGCAGCTCTCCAGGAGAACACTGCACCAGCTCACCTAGATACAGAGATTAGGTCATCTCTACTCTGATAACATGAGCAACACTTTCCTCCACACAGTCTCGCTTTGAAATGTTTTCACCAAAGCCAGGCTGTGAATGCTTCAAGCGAAAGGCAATGGCACCACTTTTTGGTCATTGATGGGAATTACAAAGCTCCGCTATGGGGCACACCTGCCAACTCAACTCAGTTCAACATAGACTTTTAATACCAATGCTGTTAAGATCTTAAAAATACTTTAGTGGAATATTTTCTATAAAACTCGATGTGAAAGATTCTTAACTTTTCATTTGAATGTTAAAACAAGCACCACACAACACACACACACACACACACACACACACACCCTCCGGCATCCTAACACTTAGATTTCAGGAAGCACTTTGAAAACTCAAAGAACAGAGAAAGAGTTTTAGAAATGAAGGAGGCTTGAGAGACGCTGCAGTATCTATTCCATTCTAGGAACACTAAAACATTTAAAATGTATAAAGCCACAGTCCAGGTCGAAGGAGGGCGGCATCTCCTGGATTTTCATTGACCACAAGCCCCACACTTCACCGCTCTGAGCGCCGTTCACCTGTTGTGTAATGCTCTCACAGTGCTTGAGCTCCAACTCAACTTCCAGCTTCCTCAAAGCTTCCTTGACAGCCATCTCCTTCTCCTGCTCTAACTCCCACTGGGCCTTGCGAGCCTGCTCCTCTGTCAGGACTGCTGCTTCCGCCATAGGAAGGGCATCAGGAGGGCCGCCCTGGTCGGTCTGACTGCCACAGTCTGAAGTTGTCTTTCTCAGAGCCTTTATATTCTGATTCAGTTTGGCCTGCCACTCCTTTTCCAGCTGTTGAACAAGTTTTTGTATGTTCTGTTTTTAGGAGGAATATGAGAAGAAAAGTACTCAATAAAGTAAAAACTAGAATTAAAGGTTACTCAAGAAAGACAACTACAGGTGTATAAAACCTTTGAGGGGCGGTGGCCTTCTGACACTGTGATACAGTGTTGCCATCTATAAAGCTCATGTCTATAATCACACAAATAATCTCATGTTTTAGGTAAATTTAAAGTTCTGCATATTGGGCACATGGGTCCTGCAGGAGTCACTGGACACGCCTGATAAATACTCTTTTAATTATTATATGAGGGTTAGAAGGTCACTCAACAAAAATACATTCCTCTTTGGCTTTCGCTAAAAACAGAATTCACATGAAGACTTAACAATAAGTATTAAGGGCAGACCACCTCAGGGTGAGTTGGCAAGAAGTTCTGATTCCGCCGCTGTAGGGATGCCACAACAACTCAGACTTGTTTGCTGCTAACTACAGAGTTTCACATCAAAGCAAGCACTGAGGAAATCTAATGAACAAGTTGAAGTTGAATGGTCCAAGTGACAGTCTCACCGAGTTGAACCCCCTGAAACCTTACTCAGTATAAACTAAGTTAGAGGGAGCGGCATGGATAGAACCTCTCCATGAGTTCTCCATGCCCAGCAACGCCGTGGGTGGGTCTAATCAGTCTTATGCAAAGCTATAAAGTAGCAAAATGGTCTTTCCTCTTTTGCCTGTCCCATCTGCTGACTACCTGGAGTTCTAAAAGTAATTCTGGCTACTACACTACCAGAATAGCAAGCTCTATGTCAGATCTATGACAGAATCTTAAACAAGCTAGAATTCTGCCTGATTTTTTATTTCTTAGTGTTTAAGATCATACTCTGGTCCTTAAATTTCTAGGAAACCAGCCAGACATGGTGGTGCACACCTTTAATCCCATCCCGGTCCTTAGAAGGCAGAGACTGATGGATCTCTCTGAGTCCAAGGCTAGCCTGGTCTACATAGCAAGTATCGGGCTACAAAGTGAGGCCTGGTCTCAAAAAGAGGTCAGAAGAGACAGGGAAGAAGACAGGCAGACCATGCTGCAAATACGCAGGCATGAGGGAGCCTGCACACTGCTGGCAGGAAGGCTAACCCAGTCCAGCCCCTGAGGAAGCCAGGATGCAGGTTCCTCCAAAACTGAAAGTAAAGCCACAAAAAGGTGCACCCACACTACTACTGGGTGTTTATCCAAAAGTCAGCATATGGCAGAGACACTCACATAGCAATGTTTACTGCCTTGCTGCATATGACAGCTAAGTATAGAACCAACCTAGATGTCAGCGACAGGACAACTAACAGAGAATGCAAGTTACACACAATCGAATGTCCTTCAGTCATAAAGAATCACCAAGTCACAGGACGGTAAGAAAGCAGAGACAGCTGAAGATGATGACACCCAGCAAAGTAAGTCTCAGATAAACACTTCATCCCTCATTGAGGGGCTACAGATTTCACAAAGATACATAAAACCAAGTATATATAGGAACATGAAAGGACAAGTAAAACTGTCAAGAAAATCAAGGACTAATGGGATGGGGGAGGGGTGAGCAGAGAAGCCATAAGGATGTTCTTATACTTACTTGAAAGTGGCCTAAGTAACACACTACATTTTGTAATTAAATAAATTAAGTTCTGGCTTGCTGAGCCTGCCCATCACTTTTCTTCTGATCCAATGCATGAATCATTTATGTCTATAACTACATAGTTAGAGACACTGACGGAGACTTATTAGAGCCATCTCATAATAGGAAATTAGACCACAGTTTCATTTCTAGGAATCAAAGAAATATCCAAAATATATATATATCCTGAATTTGGATAAAGATCATGGAATAATTTTGAAAAGTCAAAGTGGTATGATGTGTTCTAGCAGCCAGATTCTGAGACAGAACAGATGGCATCTGCATGCTTGCTAATTAATTACAAGTCACGTGTTCAGGAAGAATGGCCTACAGTTATCATACATATAGTGACCAGAAGTCAGGCGTGGTGTCTCATTCCTCTAATCCCAGCACTCAAGAGGCAAAGACAGGCAGAGATGGCTGTGAGCGCAAGGCCAGGCTGTTCTACATGGCAAGTTCCAGGCCAGCCAGGGCTGGGAAAAATAAATAAATTAATAAGCAGGGTGACCAGAAGAAACTTTGACCCAGCCCCTTTCTTCAGCTGTCCCAGTGACGTCACCTCTTTCTCAACCTGCTCTTTAACACGGGCTTCTTGCTCTTTCAGCCAGTTCTGTTTTTCTGTCTTAAGAGTTTCTTGGTACTTTTCTTCAAGTTCTAACTTCAGTTTGCTTACATATTCTTCTCTGTCTTCTAAAAGCTGTCTCTGTAAAGAAACTCAAGTTAGTATCTCGGCATCTCTGTCGCCACATTAAAAATGCTTCAGCGTGGGCATGGCGGAGGCAGGATCAGGAGGTCAGAGTCATCCCTGGCTTCACCACAGGTTCAAAGCCAACCTGGGCAACAGTATGACACTCTGTCTTTGTGGAAAACAGAACAGTGCATGTGGCATGGATCTTGGTCCTGCACATTCTATAAATTCTGTCTCCAGACCAAGCTCCCTACTTAACACTCATATCAATGTTTCTCTCCCTATTTTTATTTTTATAAAATCACTAAAAGCTAAGTTCTCAATTTTTAAATAACTTTAAATCCTTTGTAACTCCTCTGTAGCCAACACTGACTCCCTTTAAAAATTTGTTTTCCACTGAGTGACATAACACTCATGGCATGTTTTCCGTCATGCGGCTCTACTGAAACATGGCCAAAATACTACACGAAATGAACACCCCATCTGCTCACGACTGCCTTCCCCACAAAAGTGATGGCAATACCTTGCTTTAAGATATCATATTCAAAAACATCTGGGCAGAATATTTAGTATCTGTACCTAGTTTCTAGCCTTGAAGCAGGTAGCTTTCAAACTGTGGTCCACAGGCTGGTCCAAGCAAACCAGAGTCAGATCTCCATCTCCAGAGGACAGAGCTGACCACTGCTTAACATGGGGGCACTCCTGGACACGCAGCAAGGGCAGTAGCAGCAAGACGGGTCAGATAAAGAACCCACTGCTCTTTCTCCAGCTCCCAAGAAGCCAGTGGAGATACACAGCCTTATTCAGAGCCTCACTTTCCTTGTCAAGAGATGACTCAAACTCCTTTCCTTCCCAAGACAATAAAATGGCAAATGCCTACTCTGAGTGCAACAGGTGTACTGGGAAAGCAGCTAATAGTACTCTGTGCAATGTTCACAGATGCTGACAGCACACTGTGCAGGCTCACAGATGCTCACAGCACACTGTGCAGGCTCACAGATGCTCACGGCACACTGTGCAATGTTCACAGATGCTGAAGGCACACTGTGCAATGTTCACAGCCGCTGAAGGCACACTGTGCGGCGCTCACAGATGCTAATGTCACACTGTGCAATGTTCACAGCTGCTGACAGCACACAGTACAATGTTCACAGCCGCTGAAGGCACACTGTGCAGCACCCATAAGCTATGCAGGATCTCCTGGGTAGGCACAGGCAGTAAACACAAGAAAATGGAGGTGCCATGGGGGGCGAGCTGATCCAGAGTGCTCTGTCTCCCAGAATAAGTCTATAAAGGTGTGGCTGGAGAGATGGCTCAGTGGTTACAAGTACAACCTGCTCTTGCAAAGAAGCAGGTTTGGTTCCTAGAACCCATGCTGGACAGTTTATAACAGTCTGTAACTCCAGCCCAGACAATCAACACTCTCTCCGGCCTGTGACAACTATACTCATGTGCACAACACACATAGAGACAAAGACATAATTAAAAATAGTAAAATAAACCATAAATTACAATTAATTTTTATAAAGAAACATCCTCTTCCCTCATCTAGTCACCCTTCTACAAAGGTTTTAATAACAATTTCAGTATTTTTTAATTCTGTGAGCCACAATAGTTTGATATAATCAAATAAAAAGCCTCTATGAACACCGTTCCCACACTTTGTGGAAATGATGAGGCCTGAGAGGACATGGGAGACGCCTACCCTCTGCTCCTGAGCCTTTTCCATGGTCTTCCTGAGAGCAGATTCTAGCTCGTCCTTCTCTCTGCACACTTCCAGGTAACACTCCTGCACGGAAGCCATCTCCTTGTTCATCTTATCCAGGTCAGACCTTGGAGACACAGAACCAGCAAGTAGGCAGGTGTGCATACACGCATAAGTGTGAGTGCACACACATACGACTCCAAATTTTGGAGCAAACAGGCAGTGAGGCCTCTTCTTACCTGAGCTGTGACTGCGTCCCCTCATAGACCTCAAGGAGATGCTGCTTCTCCACAGCATGCTTTGCTAAAAGACTCTCTCGGATCTGAGCCTTCATGGCTTCGTGGTGCTGCTGATAAGTTCTTTCACACCTAGCAAGAGAGGGGAACTAAAGCCATGTAGCACCAGGGACAGGATGAACTGGTCTTCCTTCCTTCCTGTCTGCCTTCCTTCCTGCCCTCCTGCCTGCCTTCCTTCCCCCTTGTTTTCACTAATGCAAATTATAATTAGGTCAGACTGCTTTCCCCCAACCAAAACCAAGAGCAGCTCATTTAAATCCACTGGCCTTACAGGAATCTTCAAACATTCCTTTCATCATGTTTCTAGAGGAAACTGGATTTAGGTGTTAGACTATATCCTACCACTTCAAACAGAATAGTTAATCTATGTTGGAGACTGGTGTTTATTAAGAAGTAACTGTTTAACTGAAATAACTGAGAAATAGCCCCTGAATTCAAAACACACATGTTTACTACACAGATACCAGGCAGTAGCCAACTTACAAGTCATCTTCCAAAGGTCTGTTTGCATATGTGTAACTTGGTATTTGGTTTCCCAGAGGCCTCTAGAAGCGGCTCTACTAGTTCAGTGAAGTGCAGCTAGGGTCAGCCCACCACATAACTCTGCCTTGGTGTTCCACATTATAATCTGGGAAGGAGGGGCTGACCTCTGTCAATCTAATTTCCACAGGGACAGTTCACTCCATTTCGGGAGAGGGGCTGCCAGGGTAGAAGACTGGGCTATCCAGGAGGAAAGCCAGGAGATAAAAGCAAGGCACCAACATGTCTCACCTATCCACAGCTTCCTGCTTATCATGGTCAAAGTCCTGGACCATCTGTCTCATCTGGTTACACAAGTCTTGATTTGTACTTCTCAGTTTTTCTTCAGCTTCTTTAAGTTGCTAGACACAGAACAAAGGATGACAGAAAAGAAACACCACCTGTAATGATCAGTCTAACATAATACCCACAGCCGTATACCGTTATCTGATAGAATCTCTCTCTCTAGTCTACAAAATTATCTTCACATCTAAGTAAGATAGACATATTTCTGTAGTAATTAGCATTCTAATAGGAGTAAACATTAATATACTGTATTTGTTTTAAGATGCACCAAATGGAACTATTTAACCAGAGAAGTATTAAGCTAATTGATTGATACCTTAAAGTAAGCCTTTGAATTCAATAATCCTCATCAAAATAAAAAAAGTTGTACATTTTGGTCGAGAGCTGGCTATTGCTCGCTGGGTGCATTACCACATGAAATAGGAACCACTCAACCTTCCAATAAAGGTACTTACTACCCAAAGCACCAATAAGGGACACAGCCAGAACCACAAGAACTTCCCAAAGCATGTCCACTAACCCACATGGCCCATGTCTGCTACAGGAGCCTGCACTCCCTGTGCATTTAGTAAGGCCATGGGAAGTCCCACTGACAGTCGCGACACTTATTCACCTGGTTCTGCTGCTGTAAGACTTGAACTTCACTTTTCAGTCGCACAATGTCTTCTCTAATTGTCTCAGAAGAATCAAGCCGAAACTGATCAGCTGTTCCTCCAGAGGTATCTGTTTTAGCCTGAGAGTTTTAAAAGGTTTTAAGTTTAAAAATAAAATAAAGTTATACATTTTGAAGTAATTTCACTCAGGGAAAAGATGTCTGACTAGAACAATGACTCCCAGGTCTTTTTCTTCATCTTCTTTCCCAGATACAATCACAATCATCAAAGCAGAAAGCTAACGTGGGCATGCAATCAACCATTCTACAGACTCCATATCAACGCCCCCACTTCCCTCTAATGCCCTTTCTGCACCAAGATTAAATCGATGCCACACTACATTTAATCTTCCCATCTCCTCCCGGCTATAATAGCTCTGCACTAACTTTCAAACCTACGGCATCTTCTGAGAGTGCTAATCAGTTACTTTGGAGACAGTTTCCCTCATTTTGGTATTTTCTAGTGTTATTCACTAAATTCAGGCTAGGCTTCTAGCACGAATGCTAAGAAATAAAAAATTCTTTGTAAGAGACAAGAGATGCAGTTGTGCCTCCTGACTGGTGGTGACCAGCTGAAAGCAGAGCCTCCCAGGCACTGCCCCACTGCCTGTTGGCTTCACACACTATAGTTAGTAACATGGATCTCAGGAGAAGATTATTTTGAAATTAGGCAAAAGTCCATTTTTGTTACATTTTACTCAATAGGATTAACATATTCTATTACGTACTTTTAACTAGCATTACTTCACATATATACTTTACTTAGTAGGCACTGTTTTTAAGATCATGATATACTTTAATATATTATTTTCTAGACAAGACATAAGAATAGACATGCTGCTAGACGGTACAGGAATGAGCGCAAATTCCCTTGACCTACAACATCAGCAGTTATCTTCGGCTACTGAACTGGGGGAAAGGGAAAGCTAACAGTTCTTTCACCTGCATTCTGTGTTGCCACCACAGTGGAAACTCTTTGTTTATGTAACTGCGTGTCCCCTTCCATCTGAACGTTTCCATATCTGTAAGTTCCTTATTCTCTAAAGGGAAATCAGCACATCCACTTAGTTCATCAAAGTATCTGAAATCTATCCCATGATCTGGACACAGTCATTAGAAACGGAACACAGATTGCTCCAAACAGGGGCACCGCTGCCCTGACTGCATGACCATGTGACTAACAGACTTTTTAAACTAGTTTGCTAAAGGAATTTCAGAGATTGTGGACCTGTGAGCTAGAGAAATGATGAGATGCTGCAGCAGAGCCATTAGACAATTCTGGTAGAAGCGTGGGAAGACTAGGAGGCTAAAAGGAATTTAGACAGTGAAGTCTGGCTCTCTGGGTTTCAGTTGGCAACTGGACAAAGGCCATTCATGTAACATTCTAGAAAAGAACCCAGCTGCATTCTGCAGCAGCACCCTGAGAATCTGAGTGAGGCTAAGTTTCAATGCAATGGACAAATTTGTTCTAGGGAAGAGATTAAGACTTTCTAGTATCTGAGCCGAGGTGCGGGCACACTCACTGCTCGGCTCTGCTCTCATTCAAGTATCCAGTCAGAGAGTAGGCAAAGCAGAAAGATACTAAAAATGTAATTTGGTAGGAAAAGGAGTGATGTGGGATTTCCCTCTGTATGCTATGAATACCACTGGTTAATAAAGAAACTGCCTTTGGCCTGTGATAGGATAGAGTAGAGCTAGGCAGGGAAGACTGAACTGAATGTTGGGAGAAAGAAGGCAAAATCAGGAGAAACCATGGAGCCCCGCCGGAGACGGACACTGGAACTTTACCTGGTAAGCCACTGCCATGTGGCAAGACACAGATTAATGGAGATGGGCTAGTTTAGGATATAAGAGTTAGCCAGAAATACACTTAAGCAATTGGCCAAATGGTATTGCAAATAATATTGTTTCTGTGTGATTATTTTGGGGCTGAGCAGCTGGGAACTAACTAGTAGCCTCCTATAACAAAGGAGTGTGAGCAAATTGAAAGTTACAGACATGGCAGATAGGGGAAAAACAAGTGTAACTGTTAGAGATTATTACAGAGGAACCTCCTATTCCTCACTGTGTCTGAGTTAAAGAGTTAAGTGTGCATCAGAGGTGGGATGTTATGATTAAAACTGATGTGCTGGGTATCAAGTTGAGAAAGGCTGGAATGATGATTGTTAATCTGGATCATTAACATCAAAGTACTGAGAATCACCTAGGAGACACAACTCTAGACACCTGTGAGGGCATTTCCAAGGAGCTTAACTGGAGAGGAAAGGAGATCCACCCTTAATGTAGGTGAAAAGATCTCACAGATTACAGACTGGGAATGAATTAAAAGGAAGGAAAAGGAAGTCAGGTGAGTGCAAGCATCCAACAGGTCATGACCAGCCACGTCACTTCTCCCACCGCTGTGCCTTCTCCACCACGCGGAGTCCTATCCCTTTACCACAAGCTAAAATACACTTTTGTTTCTTGCCAAGGATGGTATAGATGTCTTCTATATCACAGCTGATCCCTCAAAAGTCACTGACAAATGTGAACACCCACATCAACACACACAAAAGAAATGTATTGGGGATCAGTCACAAAACGCTTTCTGTGTTCAGTGTTTTATGTTTACAAAGATTCAGAATATGGACTCTGACTGTTGGTAGGTCAATATGGTTTTTCTAAGAACGTTACAATTCTATCTTTAATACATATATGTATATACACGCATATGTAACATATAAAGTTCTCTATATAAAACATATAAATACTAATATATATAATCAGTATGTGCCCATGAATGCAATACCCAAGGAGCCTACAAGAGACCATCAGATCCCATGAAGCTGCCCAAGAGTGCTGGGAACCAAACTTGGATCCTCTACAAAAGCAACTGCACACCCTTGGCCACAGAGCCATCTCTCTAACCTTACAACTTCAGTCTTAATCACCCAGTGATTAAGTGAAATGAACAGCACATCTGGTCTACTCTCACACACTGCTACTGCTGTATCTGAACAGTCTCCTAAGCTCTATCATGTATTAGCTTAGAAATGCCCATAACAGTATGCTTTGGTTGTTTTATTTGAGACAAGGTCTCCCTGTGCAGCTCTGGCTGTCCTGGAACTCATAGAGTTCATCTGACTCCAAAGTGCTTGGACTAAAGGTATTCACCACCACATCCAGCTAAATTTTTAATAGAAACAATTTCTTTAATTGTAGATGTCCCAAAGTGCTACAATTTATGTGGTTCCACATAGCCAAACTGCCTTTTAAATATTAATGTGCACCTTATACTTCAATTATTTGTGAATCCCACAAAATCCTACATACAACAGCTTTTCAAAAACAGAAATGAATAACCAGCAAGATGCAGGACAACAGGATATACAAGAGGAATCCCAGTGAGAGCCCAGTCCATGGTGGAGCAGAAGCCAGAGGCCTCAAATCAGACCAGTGACTCCTTTCCATGAACACTCGGGAGTGGGGATGTATGGACTGAAGGCTGTACTGACTGTGTGCCTGACTCACTGGGTCACACTGCGGCTTCCATGACGAGATTTTTTTTCTTTTTCTTTTCTTTTTCTTTCCTTTTAAATTTTATTTTGTTGCTAGGCAATGGTGCACACCTTTAATCCCAGCACTCAGGAGGCAGAGGCAGGCAGATCTCAGTAAGTTTGAGGCCAGCTTGGCCTACAGAGTGAGTTCCAGGATAGTCAGGACTATTACATAGAGAAACCCTGTCTCAAAACAAAACAAAACAAATTTATTTTGTTTTATCTTGGGGGAAAGGTTGCAGAGGAAAAGGATGGGTGAGGGGGATGGGAAATGAGCGGGATTGAGAGATGCACGATGTGGAATCACAAGGAATAAAAAGTGGGTTCACAAAGAATCAATAAAAAGTTAAACTAGAAAAAAAAAGATTAACTAAACTATTTTCTCTCTCCCCCAATCATGCTCTCTAACTGTACAGACTCAGTGAGGTTCTGTTATAAAGATCTGGGGAAGAAGACTCCATGCAACTCAAAGGGGATCAAGAACACACACAGCGCAAACTTGAAGGTTTAACAAAACAAACCAACCTGTTGACTTTTATAGTACCACAAGGTACTATGCAGGATGCTGGTGAGGGAAAAAGAAAAATCAGTGAGCAGTCTCCCTCAGTTACTGACACTGTAAACGACAGTACTGATTGGCAAAAGACACCCACGCGTGCAACGGTGGCACAATGCCATGGGGCAGCCATTTTTTTATTTAAGTCCCAGTAATCGACACCTTAGAACATCTCTCGTACTTTGACAGGATTTTTTAATGAACAGGACTCCTGGCATAAGAACCAGAAGATAAAAAAAGCAACAGACAGGTTAAAAATTATTTCCCTTCAGGAGAAAAGGAATATACTCCCTACATTCTTTTCAATGTTCCACTCTTTTCTTTCATATTGTTTTTTTATTTTTTTGGGTTTTTTTAGGGTTTCATTATACAGCTTTCAATCCTGCCCTGGACTTCACTCTGTAGCCCAGGCTGGCCTCAAACTCACAAAGATCCACCTGCCTCTGCCTCCCAAGTGCTGGGATTAAAGGCGTGTGCCACCACTGCTCTGCTCTCTTTCTTTTCTTAATTATCAATTCATTCCCGCATTAGTTTTCTTGGCAGTAAAGACAGCGCATTTGTGAGATGAGGAGACCTGGTGACAGGAGCTTTCAGCAATCACACTGACCCCCCCCATCAGTCATATCCTGTAACTCCAATTTTCTTAAGACTGACTGTGAAACCTCAACTGGGCCACAGATCCCTGCCTCCATTTCTCCTCATCTCCACAGGCACCTGCCTCCATTTCTCCTCATCTCCACAGACACCTGCCTCCATTTCTCCTCATCTCCACAGGCACCTGCCTCCATTTCTCCTCATCTCCACAGACACCTGCCTCCATTTCTCCTCATCTCCACAGGCACCTGCCTCCATTTCTCCTCATCTCCACAGACACCTGCCTCCATTTCTCCTCATCTCCACAGACACTGGCTGAAGCAGGCTATGGTAGCACACTCCTACAATCTCAGTATTCGGGGGCAGACCCTTTCACAGGAGTTGGCTAAGGCCATCAGAAAACATGGAAATTTACATTATGATTCATAACAGTAGCAAGATTAGTTATGAAGTAGCAATGAAAATAATTTTGTGGCTGGGCGTCAGCCAATGAGAACTGTATTAGAGGGTCGTAGCGCTAGGAAGGTTGAGAACCACTGGGGGATCTCACTGGACACAATTACTAACGGGGCTGTAAAGCACTGGTGGTTCAAGCCAACCGACAACATGCACATGCCCCTTTATGTAGTAGTCTGATGTGGGAAGTCCTCCTGTATATGTGTTGCTTTTATTGGTTAAGGAATAAAGAAGTTGCTTGGGTCTATTACATGGCAGAATAGAGCAAGGAAGGAATTCCAAGCAGAGATAGAGAACAGTAGGCGGAGTCAGGGAGACATGAAGGGAGAAAGACGCAAGCTGCCAGTCAGAACTTTATCAGTAGGCCACGAGCCTCATGGTAAAATACAAAACAATATAAATGGGTTAATTCAAGATGTAAGAGCTAGCTAAGAATACGCTAGAGTCATTGGCCAAGCAATGTTGCAATTAATACAGTTTCTATGTGAGTATTCGGGCCTGGGTGGTCAGGAACAAACTAGCAGCCTCCACCTACAGTACACCTTTCATTCGTGAACAAAGAATTTAACCTAATTGGCATCTTATTCATAGGTGCCAAGAACAAGCAAACATACCCTTTCAAGTGGCTTTTTTCTGTAAGCTTTACTTCAAGAATCAAAGGAACCCCCGGAAACCAAGAACTTAACTACAAAGCATAAAGGCTCTCTTTACTGCATGTTTCAAAGAGACTTCTGAACCATACAGGCTCCATGCACCTCACCTCCATGCCTGTGTTTCCGTCCTTCGCTTGCTGGAGAGCATCAACTGTCCCACGGCACTCTTTGAGATCGCTCTGTAGTTGAGACACCAGATGACGCTTCACGGAGTTGCTGGTCAGCAAGCGCTGAACTTGGGTTTTCAACTTCAGGATAACCTCATCCTTCGAAAGCTTTTCGTTTGGGGCATCTTGCTGTGCAGTGCTGATGGGAAAATGGTCAGTTTTAGGATTAAACCACATAACAAATCAAACACAGTTATTCTGTAAACCCTAACCACATGGCAATCATGTTTTGTATGCCTTGACTGTCACAGCATCTTGAACCAGTTGTATTTTTACCATTTTGTTTCTTTGTTTTCTGGCGCCTCAGACATGCTAGACAAGTATTCTAACACTGAGCTACATCCCAGCTCTGCTAAAGGATTTGGAACTTGGGGGCTGGAGAGATGGCGTGGTGGTTACGAGTATCTGATGCTCTTCGGAAGACCTGAATCGATCCTCAACACTTGGTGGCTCACAACTAACTCCAGCTTCAGGGGATCTTATGCCCTCTTCCAGCCTTCAAGGTTAAGTGGTGCACATACAAACACACAGGCAGAACACTAACACACATAAATCAAAAATAAATAAATTGGAATTCTGTCATACATAAGGACATCTTCTTTGCACAAAAATAGGTTCGTTTCTCAGAAAACACTCTCCCTACTTAGTCTTTCTGCCTAGACACAAGCAGTTTAACTCAGACACAGCTCACACTTGTGATTTTGGGTATGTGGGATGCTAATATTCAATGAGGCAATATGGATATTGAGGAGGAAAAAAAATATTACACCTCAGCTATCCTAACCAGCTACTGTCTGTAAGGCTGGGCAGAATCCAAGCAATCAGAAAACTGAAACAAAAGCCATGCTAATCTAATCTAAACTCCTCTCTCTCCCTCTCTCTCTCTCTCTCTCTCTCTCTCTCTCCTGTAATGAGAACCAAACCCAGTGGCCTCGCACATGCTAAGCCAGCGTTCTGCTGCTGAGCTGTATTCCAGCCTTTAAACTCAACTCTATTTTCTGTAAGCATAAAGCCTAGAATGAGAGTCCAATCTTTTCTAATCATTTTATTAGTGTGTGTTGGTGGCACGGGAGAGCCACTGCCCTCGAGGACTCTCAGCAGCTGTGGCTGCCTGGACACGACCTATCCGCGAGCAAGCCAGTCACCCTGAAGCAGGAAGAAGAGGGGTGCTTCCTAGGTCCCCACTCTCAGCTGAGGAGCTGCTCATGGCTGATGACTTTTGGGGAGGGAGAGTCAGTTTCCTTTCAGGGCATGCACGGGCCCTGGAACACCAGTGCCTCAGTGGACAGTCCTACACCCATGAGCTTATGGCCAGCACAGACTGGACTCCGTGGCTTACTTAATAAAATAAATAAATAAATGAAAACAAGAAACAGAGCATCAAGTTGGAATGGATCTAGGAAGCACAGAGGGGAGGAGTAGGGAAGACAGATATGATCAAAATACATTATATGCAAGTTTGAAATTCTCAATTAATTGAAGTACCATTTTTTTAGAGATGAAGATAAGTTTCTAAACAGTTTCATAGTGGCTACTTTGTACTCTAAAACTGGGTAAATACTAAGGACGCCAAGTAAATCTCAGACATTAGTGACAATGTAAATATACTGGTTCATTAATTTTAACAAATTGTTAATAGGGAACATGGGAGCTGAGTATACTGAACTGTGTAAAATATACATCTCTATTTCTAAAATCTTCTAAAAAGAAAAAACTATCTAAAAAAGAAATAGTGGTATCTGAATTAAAGTTTTTACTCCTGAAATTTAAAGTTTTCAGATCTTCTAAATGTTAGAATATTGTAAATGTGTAAAGAGAGAATGCACAAATCACTAGGTAGATTTATTTTTAACAATATAAATGGAACTCCTGAGGAAGAATATATTATATATGTACTTATTGTAACAATATACATATATTTTATGTACATGTTTTCATATCTAAAACCTCACCTATTTAAATAATTCCCACTTCTGTAGAAATGGAAATTATAACTATAACAGGTAAAGCTTTGTAAGAAACAAAATACACACAAAGTTCTCTGATACATGATGAGGTGAACTATGAGCCCTCCGTTCACTCAGCAAGCAAATGAGGCCTCCACAGTTCCTCTTCTGACTGAAAGCAGGCCACTGAAATAGCACTCTGTGCTCCCAGAGGAGGTCAAATCAGAGAGCAGAGAGGTGCCTGTAATAATTTTCTCGCCAGGCGGTGGTGGCGCACGCCTTTAATCCCAGCACTGGGGAAGCATAGGCAGGTCCATCTCTGAATCTGAGGCCAGTCTGGTCTACAAAGTGAGTTCCAGGACATCCAGGGCTACACAGAGAAACCCTGTCTTGAAAAAAATAAAATAGTAATAATAATAATAATTTTCTTCCCTTCTTCAAAAGGAAAAAAGTCAGAATAGTGACCATTCTGCCTAAGACTCACGACACCCTATGGTAACGGGGGTTCCCTGAAACCCAAATAGACTGCAGTCCCTTATGAAGTGTGCTGAGAAGACCAAAGGAAAACGGCATTCCACTTGTTAAATGTTTATTATTTGAGCTTTGCAGCCAACTATAATAATGGAGAGAGGAAGCGTCTGCAAGCTGTGTACAGATTACTATAAAATAAAACATTGAGCTAAACCCTTCAACTTTACTAGGCAGTAGCAGAAGGGGGGGGTGGGAGTGGTAGTAAAAGCTGGGAGCCACTGATACCTGGGTCAGTGATTTGGAAGCAGCTCAAGAAAAAGGGTAATCACACAGGGAAGAGCCTCCTTTAATTCGACAATCAGGTCACTGGAAGAAAAGCACCAATTTCTTCTCTCCTATGTCCTTGAAATTTGACATGAGACTGCTTATCAAAGACGGTAGATCAACTATCAACCATTAGTGAGAGATGATGTCCTCTGGACAATGTATTTATTGATGACTTCCAGAGCTCTCACCAGCTACCTGAAGAGGCCTAACATAACATTACTGCAGCCATGACAGGCTGTGGACTAACAATACTGGGACTAGGCCTCACCCTTACAATAACCAGGAAAAGCACAAACTGTACCCTGCGGAGGACCAATAAGAATAGAGACAAACAAGTACTACATGCTCTAGAACATTAAGAATAGCCTACTTAACTTGTGTATAGGCTGCCAATTTCCTTACAGCAACACCAGTACTAATCCCTGTTTGACAAGACTCCTGTTGCCCCACTCCAGGCCATCAGGAGCTCAACCCCCATCTGAATCCAGAATCCACCCGCCCCATCCTTTACTCCTTAAAAACCCTGCCTCAAACCGAGCTCAGGCCTCTCCCTAATCCAACCACTGTGTCAGGACAGACGGACAGCCCGAGCTGGAGCTTGCAACAAAGGCTCTGTGCTCTTGCACATGAACTTGGACTCCTGGTGCTCTCTGGGGGGCTCATGATGCAGGCATAACACTACCCACTCCAATTCAGTTACGTCCTCTACTTTCCCAACTGCGTGGGTCAGCCATTTCTTCATAGAAATGATGAAATGCCTTGACCTATTAAATAGAGGAATGTACATTAGAATTACTACATCGTGGCAATGAAGTTATGTAAATAGAAATTACAAGAGTAGCTGGGCATGGTAGTGCAATGTCAAAAACCCCAGTACTTGGGAGTCCAGGGCAAGATTGTACATTTGAGGCCAACCTGGGATACACAGCAATATCCTACCTCAAGGAACAAAACAAAAACCAAAAGGTACAAAAGACAGAATTTGTTTTAATGGATAAAGATGAAGTATGTCTATTGAAAGGGTTCAACACGCATGTGCTCATCACTCAGCTCCAAGGCCAACCACAGTACAAACTGAAAAGTAATACGACCTGGAGAAAACTATTTCTGAGTGAACTATATCCTTAATTGTCAATAAAGAGAAACAAAGAAGAACGAAGTTTAAAGTAAAAAGGCTTGACTATCATGTAAATATGAACAAACAGGAGACTACATGAGGCCTGAAGATTTTTTAATTCAAGTCCTGGTGGCACCATTGACAACCTGAGCCAAGTGACTCACCTTTCTGTGCTCCAGTAAGGCCAACATTGTCACAAAACTGAGGATCAAAATGCTTTAAAACGTATGTGTTGAATTCAAAGTTGATAAATGTAAAATCTGATCAGTGGCACATTTTAACCAGTCATCTCTAAGATAACAGAAATGGCTATTATTTTAGTACCTAGTAAGTCCTAGGACGTATTCCAGGAGACTCACACTCATTGTCTGTTTTAATTCTCACTTTAAGTTCCAAGAGAGTGCAAGCTTGATTAAAAAGTAAAAATAAAACAACAACAAAAAAAAAAAACAAGCCCAGAGAAAGTTAAAAAGTTGGCGTAAGGCCATTTACCTAGCAATAAAAGGCAAAGCTGTGGTCCATAGCATCCTGGATCTGACACCTACACTCTTTCCCTAGTTCCTGAGAAATCATTTGGCACTGACAAGCAAGGAGGCATTCACAGCAAAGTATGTTTTCAAGCCGACTACATATAGCTTCAAATTTGTAAGTACCTAGGGATAAAACTAATAATATGCTCCTTTTGTGTTTGCCAACTACAGTGGAAGCCTTTGTTCAACATCACGTGACTGGGTCGCAGTACTCATACTGAGAGCCACTGTGCCACTGCTGGGCTTTCCACACCCCTCTTCCGAAGGCTGAGCGGATGGCAGTCCCCCCACTTCATCCGAGCCACGCTGACCTCCATTAGCAAACCAGGTAATTAACAGGATGGAAAGACACATGGGGTCCCATGGCCCTAGCCAAGAGCCCGAGGATGACCCCGCCAAAACATCAGTCTAGCTCCGCTATTTTCTTCTCGGCTTTCCTCTAGGCTGTCATCTGTAGAGGTGAGAGCCCCAGAAGACAAGACGCTCAGGTAAACGTTCCTAAGCTGAACAACAGCATTTCGTATGCAGGATCACCCTATTACTTTAGACTCTGATCCGTGAAATCCATCCATGGCCAGCAGTAGCTCTACACGGCAATGGCAGTGTTAAAATGCAAGCTTCCCAAGGCCACTATGGGTGAAGCTGTCAGGAGACTTAGCTTTGTACTCAATTGCTTAATACTTGAGACACAATCCGTACTAAACAACTCAGTAACGACAGTGAACACAGCCAATGCTGGTGAAGGCCAAATGCTGTTCCGTAACACTTTCTTCCAGAGGCGGAAGCACAGTCAGTGATACAGCACTTTCTGAGAATGAGCGAGGTCCCAGGCTCCATTCTTCAGCAAAAGCAGCACCTGCTTTAGCCTAACCCAATCTCCTGACAGTACTCCATCTCTCATCTCCAACTCAGACCAGTCAAGGCCAGCACTGACCAAACAGCACTTGGTTGCTTATTGGCTATGTCTCCTTTCTCTGGCCTGGCAAACTGTGAACCCAGGGAAAAGACAGTTTCTAACTGACTTTTTGTAGCTTATTTCAGGACCTCACAAAGTGCCTTCCATATAGCAAGGATGCAAAGTTCACCAAGTGTATCTGCTGAAACCCTATAACTAACCCTGCAACTCTCTCCACTCCTTCCCCATCACCCTTGCCCACATGACTAATAAAATATCTACAATAACAGTAGCAAAAAAGAACCAATTTTTTTGGTTTTGTTTTGTTTTTTAGTTTCTCGAGAGTCTGCGTAACCGCCATCCATGGTTATCCTGGAACTCACTTTGTAGACCAGGCTGGCCTTGAACTCACGGAGATCTGCCTGCCTCTTCCTCCCAAGAGCTGGGATTAAAGGTGTGTGCCACCACCACCCAGTAAGAACCCATTTTAAAAGTGAGATCTCAAGACTGGAGAAACAGTTCAGTGGTTAAGAGCCCTGCCCGGGTTCGGTCCCCAGTTCCACGTGGTAGCTTACAACCATCCCTAACTCCAGTTCCAAGGGATCTGACCCCCTTCTAACTTCTACAGACACCAGCATAAGCCCATGCATACATGCAGGCAAAACATGCACAACAGAAATAAATGTAAAAAAAAAAAGTTATTTAAGATCTCGGTAAGATTTAAAAAAGAGTGTAAGGTCATTGCTCCGCTTATTTTCTCACAGATGACTGATTAGTGCAAGACAACTGCTTTTCACACACAAAGCTAACATTAAAAACAATAGGCATCCACCTCACTGTATATTTGTGAGCATGTGTGTGGTCTGTGCTCATGTATGCACACGGCGTGTGCTCCCACACTTCTGCTTTATCGCTCTCTCCTTTATTCCCTTGAAACAAAGTCTCTTAGTGAATCTGAAGCTAGGCAGGGCGGCCAGCAATTCTTAGTTATCCTCCTGTCTCAACCTCCTACAGTGCTGGGTGCTGGGGATTTGAACTCAGGTCCTTATGCCTGCAGAGCATGCTCTATTACCCACTGAGCCATCTCCCTAGCCCCATAGTCCGCTTATTTTAACTACATAATCCCCTCCTTCTATAACTGGTGTCTATCTACATGATGAGGACTACAGACACATATTAATACTTCAGATTTCTGTCCCTTTGATTTTCTGTCATTTATATTTCATTAAGAGTTTCTAAAACACACTGTCCCATAGTCAGATCTTTACACGCATGGTGCCACCCATGTCCCATGCCTCCAGCACCAGTTTTATTAAGAGTCTTCTATGGTAAACTATCCATGCGGTACCTGTTAGCTTTGGATTGCTTCTGATTGGCTTTTGTAATGCCCAAGTCCACACACGATTCAGTGAGCTCTACATTTAGGTCTCCTTCTGAGTCGCCTGGAAGCACTCCGAGGTCGGCAGCAGACTCATACAGAGAAATCTCATCTTTAAGTGCTGTTAATTCCTCCTGCAGCAAAGTCATCAGAAAGAACTTCCATTATCTTCCTGGATAACAAAGTCAGTCATCCCATGTTTACTTAACTGTAATGATCGGCAGAATGCAGAAAAGTCTCAAATATATTCTTAACATTCATTCTAAATAACTCCAGGAAGGCCAGTTCTTGCCCTATTTTCAAATAAGTCAAATTAATGAGGAAGCAAAGGTGGGGAGATCTTTCCACAATCCTTATATTTACAAAAACTCCTTAGCTGGGATACCTCTGGTGTCCTGGCCTCACTACACCAAAGGACAAAGTAGATAGCTCAGTCAGGGGCATGCTACGCTCTGCCTGCAGCAGTGTGCCATGCTCTGACTGCATCATCAACAGGCAGAGCACTTCCTTCAGCAGAGGCAATGCTGAAAGTCCTCTCCAGCATCCTCCTTACTGTCAGGGAAATTAAGATGGTGGAGGATGTGAGAAAAAAAAAAATCACATCCCAACTAAATATTCCCCACACCTGTAGAATCGCCAGTCCCCGGGAAACACCTGCAGACCATAGATGCCCTGGTCCCTAGGATACCTCTGCATAGGCAGGAGAGACAGTGGACAGACTGGCAGGAGGAAGCAGAGGTCTGGCTCTGCAGTTGATCAGAACTGGACTGGAACACCTTGGTCTACCAAGCAGCGGTGTGGTATGGGTGAGATCCTGAAAACCTTTCCTGGTCTGAAGGTCCAGCCACCCTTACTACACAGAGAAATCTACAATACAAAAAAGGTGCTATAGCATTGCCCAGGTCTCTTCTGAGAGATCGCACTCACTTGCAAAGCCTTATTCATGCTCTCACTTAGGACGTGGGCCTTCTGTGCTTGCTGCAACTGTAGCTGTAGCTGAACCACCTCCTGCATGGAGCCTGCAAGATAGAGTCACAGGATATGTGATGTGGAATATTAATTTAAGATGTGTTATATTTATTTATGTTATGGAACATTTATTTAATGATGCAAAGACGTGTTGCATTCTTTTATGTTACATTTGGAACTCTGTGAAGCTGTGTTACTGTGCCTGCCTAAAACATATGATTAGTCTAATAAAGAGCCAACAGCAAGGCAAGAGAAAGGATAGGAGGAGCTGGCAGGCAGAGAGAGTAAAGCGAAAGAGAAATGTGGGAAGAAAAACTGGAGGCAAGAGAAGGAGAGTGGGACATCGGGGGCCAGTCATCCAGCTACACAGTCAGTCATGGAGGAAGAAGTAAAGAAAGGTAGATAGAATGGAGGAAGATAAAAGCCCAGAGGCAAAAGGTAGACAGGGTAATTTAAGTTAAGAAAAGCTGGCTAGAAACAATCCAAGCTGAGGCTGGGCATTCATCAGTAAGAATTAGCCTCCATGTGCTTTTATTCAGGAGTTGGGTAGTGTGATCCCCAAATAAAGAATAGGAGCCAAAAGAGTAAGAGTGGAGGACTGGGGAGATGGCTCAGAGGTTAAGAGCATTGCCTGCTCTTCCAAAGGTCCTGAGTTCAATTCCCAGCAACCACATGGTGGCTCACAACCATCTGTAATGGGGTCTGATGCCTTCTTCTGGCCTGCAGGCATACACACAGGCAGAATATTGTATACATAATAAATAAAATATTAAAAAAAAAGAGTAAGAGTGGAAACCAACCAACAACTACATGGAACTGAAAAGAGACAAAGTCAGATCTACAGAACCAGGAGGCACTGAGGCTCCAGGTGGAATCTGCTCTGCTATGGTTTACAGCCATGCAGACAGAGAGCCACGGAGACCTCAAAGACCCAAGTCTGGCCCATGTGTTTCTGAGATTTAGTTCTCAAGGAGCTCAAGGCCTGGGAACTGGAGTGTTGGATCCTGTAAGCCTGATCAGCCACTGCCACATCTACAAACCAAAGCAGCCTGGAAGTCATCTAGTGGGCACACAAGGTTCTAGCTCACACAAGTCAAGAAAGATCTACCCTACCATTTCTGCCCTCCAATTAAACTGTATCTTGCTATCTTTTTTTTAAAATATTTATTTATTATGTATACAATTTTCTGTCTGTGTGTATGCCTGAAGACCAAAAGAGGGCGCCAGACCTCTTTACAGATGGTTGTGAGCCACCATGTAGTTGCTGGGAATCGAACTCTGGTCCTTTGGAAGAGCAGGCAATGCTCTTAACCACTGAGCCATCTCTCCAGCCCCTTGCTATCTTTTTAAATGCTTTTATTTCCAATATCTCCATCTACACATGGAAAAGCAGCACACTACAGCTGTATTTCTGAATTTTAGCAAACTACTACTTTAAAGTTGTGTGTCTATGTGTGTATACATGCATCCACAAAGGCCAGAAGGGGGTGTCAGGTTCCCTGGAGCTGGAGTTACAAGTAGGTGTGAGCCCCGTGGGTGCTGGGACCTGAATTCTAGTCCTCTGCAAGAGCAGGAAGTACTCTCCACCTCTGAGCCCTCTCTCTAACCCCAACGAACGAATATTTTAAATGTACTAGGAGTCTAGTTCAGAGGTTCAGAGGGCCATTTGAAGGTTTCTTTGAATGAAAACAGCCCTCTCAGAAATAGCTGAGGGAAATACTCACAGTCTACGAGGCTGCTTTAGAAAATCTTAAGAGTCAAGGGAAAGACTCACCAAGTCATGGCAAGGGGGAAAATGGATCTGTAGCTAAGCAGAGCCCAAACAGGACAGGGTCCAAGGTGGCCCCTCAGCAAGCACACACACATCCATAGGCAGCCTTTAACTTCAGTACCTTCCCTGTACAATTACACTACACTCGCACACCAATCATCTAACTGGTTCATAGGCCAAAATGTCACTTGTATGTTAGTTCATAAAAAAAAAAAATCACTATTTTGTTAAGCAAAAAATAGGATGATTTTGTCTGCTCAATAGTCTGTGTATCAACACTGACATTTTATTATCTTTAACATCATCTATAAAAATAATAATTAAAAGTACCACTACCATGAAAAGCATAGGAAGCATGTTTCAAATACAACAGAGGCCACACTAGAAATCTTCACAGTGACAAAAATGTAACTCTCAGCTCAGGTAAGTGACTCACTGCAAGGGGATAAAGAACTGGAGAATAAACAAAATGACAATTATTTAATCATATATTTTTGGGGGGTCAAGAAGAGGCAAATACAGTGAGGCCTTATAGTCAAAGGAGGCTGAGGGCAGAACTTCGTCTTTGGAGCAGAGTGCCCTCCTCGCATGTGCGTCCCTTTCCTCCGCTGGAAGCAGTGCCAGGCATCACAGCCCAGGTTTCTCAGAGGAGGAGTACTGGAGGTTTTTATTTGGAATGGACACTTGTTTGTATTTTCCAGACTGTGTAATAGACATGAACCAGACCTTTAGTACAAACTAGAAGAAACTGGTCACTGGTGCGCTTTTCTGTCTCTTCTGGCTTTTTACAGTGCAGGGATTCAGGCTGCTGAGATGACCCAGTGATCTTGCAGTGCAATTCGTGGCATGCAGTGGTGGCAAGACAGCCTGCGCTCGAGCTCCAGACTGTGAGGCTGTCTTCTGCATGCACCTCCTACACACCACACACGCAAGGACAGTGAGTAGAGTAAAACTGCAGTTTAGGAATCCAGCTACGTGCTGTGCTGTGCAATTACACTGTGTGAAGATGTGTCGCTGTGACTGGTTCCATACAGAGTCAATGGCCATTAGCTAGGCAGGAAGGGTAGGGAGGACTTCTGAGGACAGAGAGACTTCATAGAGGAAGAAAGGTTGAGTCGCCAGCCAGATGTGCAGGAAGCGGGATGGGCAGTGCAGACTAAAGGTAACCAAGCCACATAAGTACATAGGTTAGGTTAAAGAATATAGGTTAAGTTACAAGAACTAGTTAGGAACAAGCCTAAGCTAAGGCTGAGCTTTTAAATTACTAAGAAATCTCCGTGTCACCATTGGTGAGCTGGCAGTCCGAACGAGAAAGCTCATCTTCCCTGCACACATCGCAGGAGCCTCTGGGGACCCACAGCACGCACCTGACTGCAGCAGGTGGGCGCACTGCTTCTGGCTGTCCTCCAGACTTCTCGCCAGCCTGTTAATGAGCTCAGTCTTTTCCAATTTGACAGCTTCTTGATTCCTCTCCAGTTGCTGCACGTGATCCTTTAAACGGACGCAAACGCTTTCCTAAACCAAAGTCAGCAAGTCATTTTCACAATCAGTTTTAGTAGAAATTAAACAAAGTGTCAAATTTAAAATCATCATCTGGTGCGATAATCTCTTGTCCAGGGGGAACCTGTACACGGGGGAGAACAGGAGAGATGTGACCTGGGGAAAGGCCCGGCTAACAAAGGACACCCGCAAGCTCCTGTTATTCTAAAACCAGATTTTACTCATGCCAAAGGAAACATATTACAGTCCTGTGCATTTTATGCTGTGTTAACACATACATACAAATGTAGGGAAACCACTTTGAGTCATGGAATCCGTATCCTCAGACAAGGCAACAGATGAACACATGGAAACTCTATTCTGAGCAGCCAAAGGCTCATTCTGTTCAGGGCAGCCAAAAATAATCTTTCCCTCCTCTGAGTTTCTTTTAAATTTGATCTGTTTCTCTTATATTCCTCTTTCTACCTTTTACACATCTTATTTCCCTTGTCTCCCAAGGCATCTCTGGAATATGTTAGGCATGACAAGCATTATAATGAATACTTCTAATAATGATAAGAAAGACATAACTGTTGAGTGTGACTGCATGAGGACACATAAGAAATAGACACCGGGGGACAAGGATTGGAGAGAGAAAGATACTGTGCAAACATTTCTCCAAAAAGAAAACCACACAGGCGTGTGGAGCCCAGGCAGAAGAAACCATCACTGTAACAACCATTGCTTCTCACCTAAAAGCCACTCAGGCTGAATGTCAATCAAAGCATGGAAGAGGCAGGCAAATCAGTGTGGCAATGGTCTTAAACTTCCTGAGAAGCCCTAAGAAAAGCACTAGCAAGAGCTCCGAAGTAAGGAGAATACATGGGCCTTTGGTACCAGGTACCCAAGTACAACCTAAACCTTAATATCGCTCTCAACACAATTTCAGGGATGCCCAAAATGCAAATAATACAGGAGTGTCCCTGTGCAAAGGAAAGGGGCACTGAAGGCTCTCGTTTTGCTGTAAAATTCCTGTGAATTTTCTATGCTATGTCATAATGCAGCTGTGTTTGCTTTAAACTCTTTCTACCAGATTTTGAGCAAAATGAAGCTTCTGGACAGCGGTCCGTGTTTATTTAGTGCTGTGAAATTCTTGGCATGCTGCTGCTGGTTCCCAGGCCAGCTTGGGAAGCTCAGCACTAATGAGCCAGCATAACCTGGCTGATGCGCCATGAGTTAACAGGATGCAGCACAAAACTTGTCATGAAAGGGTGGCCAGACACTCACAATCATATTTAGAGGTCACAATAGGCTTGAATTGTTACAATGTTGCATATCGAGTCTTCTCTACATTGAAAATCTGATGTTTAAGGAAAGCACTAAGTTAATAACATGCTATAACCATGTATTTCTCAAATTGCACTAGGTACACAGACATTCAAAAAGCTGTGTCCGAATGCTGCTTCACCCAGAACATGCAAATACTTGGCCTCTGTGCCAAATTCACTTTCAAGGCACAACTAACACCCATTTGTGGTTTAAAAGAAAAGTCTTAAGAACTTTCTCAACTTTTCTTTAAAAAGAGAAAGAAATCTAAATCTAGTATATATACTGGGAACCTAGAAGCTTTCCCACAAATACAAGGACCGGGGAAGGGAGTCCCTTCTCGCCTCTGAGCACCATGTTGAAAGTTCTCGCCAATGAACGATGGTGAGAAAAAGGAATAAAAGGAACACAAACTACAGAGAGGAGAGTAAAACTCTGTCTACGGACGACATAACTGCTGCACAGAAGGTCAGAAGGGGAAACCTACTAAAATTGCAGCTAATGGGGGAAAATCACCTTCCTCTACATCACAATGATCAAGTAGAATTCGGAATTTATAAAAAAGCCATGCCATTTACAATACCACTCCAGAACTGAGGGTCTCTAGAAGAAATGTAAGACACATGGAGAGCTAGTTGGGCAAAACTGAAGAAATTAATAGAGAGCTAGACAGCTGTAACAGCTCTCTATGCTTACAGTGGGAACACTCACTAGATAGCTGTAACACCAGATAACCGGAACAGCTCTCTATGCTTACAGTGGGAACACTCACTAGATAGCTGTAACACCAGATAACCGGAACAGCTCTCTATGCTTACAGTGGGAACACTCACTAGATAGCTGTAACACCAGATAACCGGAACAGCTCTCTATGCTTACAGTGGGAACACTCACTAGATAGCTGTAACACCAGATAACCGGAACAGCTCTCTATGCTTACAGTGGGAACACTCACTAGGTAACTGTAACACTAGGTAACCAGAACAGCTCTCTATGCTTACAGTGGGAACACTCAGCCGTGGTCGAGATGCCACTTGCTCCCAGTGAGACTTACAGAGCCCATGTACCCTCAGCAAAGTAGCAAGTTACTTCGTGGGTGTCAACAACCTGAGTATCTTAAGTTTATATAAAGGGTTCCACACATCACCACCATTCTGTGAGCATGTTGAGAATGAAGGCACTAATCACTGATGTGGGAGTGTCATATATCAATCTGTTGATTTCATTGGTTAAGCAATAAAGAAACTGCTTGGCCCTGTGGGTGGAGTAAACAGAACAAAATGCTGGGAGGAAGAGGAAGTGGGGTCAGTCTCGACAGCTCTCCTCTCTGGAGCAGACGCCTGAGAGAGACGCCATGCCCTGCTCCCAGGATGAAGCTCCGACCCAGGATATGGACATAGGCTAGAATCTTCCTGGTAAGCGCACCTTGGGGTGCTACACACAGATGATTAGAAATGGGCTAAATTAATATGTGAGAATTAGCCTAGAAGAGAATGGGCCAAGCAGTGTTTAAATGAATACAGTTTGTGTGTTGTTATTTCAGGGCATAAGCTAGCCGAGCAGGCGGCTGGGGTGCTAGGAACGCAGCCCCACCGCCCTTACTACTACAGATTGGCGCCCACGTGGACAACTGAATCCACAGAAAGCCTGAAAAAGCTTGGGAAAGAGTAAAGCATGTTTTCTTGATAGTGACAATTTCTCGGATCTACTCTGCTTGCTAGAGGCAAGCAAGCGCCTCATTTAATAGAGGCTTCCTGACTCAGCTTTAGCTGCAAAACCCTGCAGCTCATTAAGAGGTCCTGCCACGAAACACTTAGATGGTGTTGACGAAAAGCTGAACGCATGCTTTTCGGTTTTCAGCCGTAGCAGGAAAAAAGCTGCACCGTTTAAAAATGCCGGCTTTCTGGGCTGTCCTGCCAGGGCAAACTCTGACTCTTTTACACAGGCAGTTCATGCCGTTTGCAAGCACAGGCTGCTTAAGCTCGCCTGCTGACAGGGACATTGAAACACTGTAGGCTTGTGGCACTGAATGCGGCTCTGGCCGGTACCTCAGCCACAAGGCTGGAATGACAGAAAGCTAAGGAATGGGCTACATCTAGCCGGCAAAGCCACGCCTTTAATCCTACTGATATTGCTTGGTAAATTAAAGGCTCTTGTGGTCAGAAAAAGAGAGATATACAGTAAAGAGAGATTCAAAGACAAAGAAAATTTCTAAATGGTTTACTGTGTGTTAAAAATATGTGCAAGCTAAAAGTTGAAGTTCTTAAAGTAAGAAAAAAAGGAAGAGAGTTGTTGTGTGTGGTACACACCTTTAATCCCAACACTTGGTAGGCAGAGGGAGATAGACCTCTGTGACTTCAAGGTGTGGTAGCACACGCCTTTAATCCCAATGCCTGGGAGGCAGAGACAGGCAGATCTCTGAGAGTTCAAGGACAGCCTGGTCTACAGAGTTACTTCAGATCAAAGATACAGAGAACCTATCTCAAAAAGCAAAGAGTTAAAAGTAAAAATAAACAAAATAGAGGTTAAAACAAAGCTGCACAAAGATGGAAAATACACAGAGAATTTTGATACTGTATGCTATTATGCTCTCTTTAAATTATTTAAATGCTGAGGAAGGAGCAACAGATGCTAAAAGATATTTATTTAAAAATTCTGCTGAGCTAATCCAACATAGATATTTTGGCGCCTTGACTTTGAAATTTGGATCTAAGGACATGATGCTTTGGAAAGGAGTTTCTTATTTTGTTTTCACAGAGGATGAGACGCTGTTCATTTCTTCTATTCCGATTTGGTATGATGGACCACATCCTCCTGAAGGGTTGGTGTGAACACCTTCAGAAAATTGCTTCGCTCAACTGCCAACTGAGATGAAGCTAGCACACAGGTTATACCATGAAAGACCTAATTAATGACGCCCCCATTCAGCAGGAAGCAGTTTGGAGAGAAATAACTGCGCCCATATTCCCAAAAAATGTTTATAAATGTTCTTTTACATTTAAAGGGGGATATGATATAGATATGAATAATTTACATTAGTATAGATTTTGCTTTATTGATAGAGATTTAAGGTCAATTTTGTTATATGTATAAGTGTTTCTGATTTTGATTAAGGTATTGTGATTGTGTAGTTCATTTAAATATGTACTGTATAATTAAGAAATATAGGTTGTTAATGGATAATCATCGATAATAGTAAAGCTTGTAGTCATGTTAGTTAGATTTTCTAGATATATAGAGATATATTTTAGATAGACGTTCTTCATGTCTTTCAAAGATTACAGAATAGGACATTTAATGTTTTAATAACTGAGGACTTTTCATGACAATGAGACACTCTGCTCCTGGCAGCACCAATGTACTTCAAGAGGAAGATGGGCATCGAAGAGGCACCTCATGGAGTTTGATAGCCATTTGGGCAAGAAACTACTCTTGCCTGGACTATTGCATAAACTGGACACAGAGAACCCACAGAGAGAGGACTGCTGAACTTGCCTAAGGTGAGATGATCTTTCGGGGTTCCTGATTCATTTTGAAAGAGTCTGTGAGACATTCTGCAGGACACAACAGATAGTGACTGAACTGACTTTGAAATTTCCTGCTTCGTGGAAATGTCTGCTGGATACTATGGGCCTGAAGGCTGAAGATGGATGCCCCAACGGTACAAAAGAACTTTGGGTGACTGTCCAGGCAGCGAGATGTCTCTGTCATTTCTAGAGTTTGAAAGTTGCTTATTTCTTGTTTGCTTAGGTAATATTGTATCTTTCTGGAGTCTTTGGAGTTGAAGAATAGTTAGTTATAGTTATAGTTTTCCTTAGTTATGATAAAGATAAAATAGATATAAATATTGTAATTTTACTTGATAACTGTTTTGTTATATGTAATTTTGCTATGTTAAAGTTAAAGCCTTCTTTTTTGTTTAAACAGAAAAAGGGGAAGTGATGTGGGAGTGTCATATATCAATCTGTTGATTTCATTGGTTAAGCAATAAAGAAACTGCTTGGCCCTGTGGGTGGAGTAAACAGAACAAAATGCTGGGAGGAAGAGGAAGTGGGGTCAGTCTCGACAGCTCTCCTCTCTGGAGCAGACGCCTGAGAGAGACGCCATGCCCTGCTCCCGGGATGAAGCTCCGACCCAGGATATGGACATAGGCTAGAATCTTCCTGGTAAGCGCACCTTGGGGTGCTACACACAGATGATTAGAAATGGGCTAAATTAATATGTGAGAATTAGCCTAGAAGAGAATGGGCCAAGCAGTGTTTAAATAAATACAGTTTGTGTGTTGTTATTTCAGGGCATAAGCTAGCCGAGCAGGCGGCTGGGGTGCTGGGAACGCAGCCCCGCCGCCCTTACTACTACAAATCACAGCAGCAGGAGGTCGAATCATGGGAAATTCTTTCTCCTTCCCTCACTTTGGGTGTGAACTCGCTCTTGCAGCGCTCTTCCGATTAGGAACGCCAGCTGGATTAGAAAATAATTCAGAGCGGGCACAAGCAATTGACTCCTTACAGCAAATCCTGCTGAGCCAACTGATAACAAGTTTACAAAGGCGGGACCACAAAAACACTCCCAGGATGGCGGGAGTCGCAGTAAATACAGCTCATGGTTTAGAATCTGAAGCCCACTCGGCACAGAACCAAGATTCTGTTCTGTCTTCTAGGCTAAGGTCCCTCTTTTGTAGTGGTGATTGGCAGGCATGGGGACAGATAAAGAAGTCAGAGGCACAGGCTTTGACTCATCAGCTGTCTTGCAATAACCAAAGACCAGAAGGAACTAGTTGTACCAGGGAGGTTGTCCTGAGAGCCATTTTGGGGTCTGCCAACATTTGTACCAACCATTCCTACAAGAAAGGTTTTTAAACACACTAGGGATTCCTCGCACCCATCCCAGTGAGATAGTGTGAACTCAGCAGAGGAATGCTCGCCAAACACCCACAGGAGCTGACAAACTCCAGTTTCCTAAATCTGCCAAGGACCATCAATGGCTGTGCCACCACTGTGTTCATCAAAGGTGACATGAACAAATAAACATGAACTGCCTTCTAAGTATACAAAAGGTCACTGAGATGGAGCAACTTTGGGTGTGTGATTTTTTTTTTTTGGTACAGTTTATTTAAAAATTCCTTAGAGAATTGGCAAAAAAAAAAAGGTAAAATAACAAAAAGACTGCACCCTAAATTCTAGTTAAGTTTTTATAATTTCCTTATCTTCTTCCATGGTTGGGCATAACCTTTATCTTTTCCCATTCCTAGAAACCCTTCATTATGGCCAAACTCACAACATTTTCTATGTAAAAGGAAGAAAACAATAACTGAATAAAACACATAAATACACACAAAAATAAAAAGGACTGGGTTTGCATTGGAAGATTTCTGGCCCAACATGCACCAAACCTGGGGCATAACCCAGCATCTCACAAAAGAAGCATGGTGGTGCAGGCCCATAATTCCAGCATCTCACAAACAGAACATGGTGGTGCATGCCCATAACCCCAGCATCTCACAAACAGAACATGGTGGTGCATGCCCATAACCCCAGCATCTCACAAACAGAACGTGGTAGTGCATGCTCATAACCCCAGCATCTCACAAACAGAGCATGGTGGTACAGGCCTAAAACCACAGCATCTCACAAACAGAGCATGGTGGTGCATGCCCATAACCCCAGCATCTCACAAACAGAGCATGGTGGTACATGCCCATAACCCCAGCATCTCACAAACAGAGCATGGTGGTGCATGCCCATAACCCCAGCATCTCGCAAACAGAGCATGGTGGTGCATGCTCATAACTGCAGCACTCAGAAAGCAAAGGCAGGAGGACCCGGAGTTCAAAGTCACCCTGAACTACTTAGCAAGTTTGAGGACAGCTTGGGCTACATGAGACTGAGTCATAAAAAAATAAATAAATAAAATGTATAATATAAAATAGAAATAATAATGGAATAAGATTTTACACAAACAATTACTCTGCCATACTAGGTCTACCAAACAAGGGAAAAGGCAGAGTCAGCCATGGAAGTTGGAGATAACACAAATCAGAATGAACTTTGGGTGTGGGAGGCTTGTCATACCCTCACCTTAGTTTCTTCTCCTTTTCTCTTGGGTTAAATTAGTTCTCAGATTACATTAGGAAAAATTCATCCCGAAACTCGGTTCACTTGATACACTCTGAGCTTCCAATACTTACTCCTTCTTAGACACAAACATAAAAGTTGACTATGAAATATGTTCAAGTTTAGACTCACAAGCAATTTATTTGGGTCAGACTTCCTTTCCCTATTTTACACAGACTGAGTGTCCCGCATGGGAAACATTTCAATGTATGTTGGGATGAGACTCAAGGTTAAACATGAAATTTATTTAATGTTATTAATGTCTTAGTCAGGGTTCCTACTGCTGTGATGATACACCATGACTAAAGCAACCTGGGGAGGACAGGGTTTATTGGCTTACACTTCCACATCACTGTTCATCATCAAAGGAAGTCAGGGAAGGAACTCAAATAGAGCAGGAACCTGGAGGCAGCAGCTGATGCAGAGGCCATGGAGGAGTGCTGCTTGCTCCCATGGCTTGTTCCTCATTGCCCAGCCTGCTTTATGGAACCCAGGACCACCAGCCCAGGGTTGGCCCCATCCACAATGGACTGAGCCCTCACCCATCAGTCAATAATTTAAAAAATGTCCTACAAGCCTGCCTACAGCCTGACCTCACAGAAGCATTTTCTCAATTGCAGTTCCCTCCTCTCAGATAATTCTCGCTACATCAAGTTGACATTAAAAACTAGCCAGGACATAATACACTCGGTTCAAAGACTTTTCTTATACAATACTGTCAGCCATCAGAATACTGGCTTCCAGATATCCAACTTGTATTCCCAAAAGAAACATTTCTCTACACTCTTTATGTAGCGGTGAATGTTCAGAGATCTACAAAAGACTCTCATGTCAACCTCAGGTTCTGGCCAGTGGCAGTACACCCATTCCTTTCAGTGGACATTTATCTATGACAATGTGAATATGTATAAATATTATCAAAAATAAAGTTGGACTAACACTTTGAGGTCTGAGAAGGTACCAATCAATCCTACAAGAACAGTACCCAAAATGAGGGTTTCAGACATATTCATGATTTAAAAAAAAAAGAGGAGGGGTTGTGTGTGTGGAGAGGGAGGATTCAGCTACTATACAATAGATTACACCTATTACTAGCAGCAAAATTTCTAAATGGGGGACCACAAAGTATCAGTTACAAAAATGACCAGCTTTACTCGATGGACAGTTGTTCATCAGGAGTCATCTGACCTGCTCCTGAAGTGCTGTTCGGGTAGCATCCAAATTCTTCTGTAAGGACAGCATCTGCTCTTCATACTTCTGTGTGAGGCCCGTGACGATGTTCTCGTGCTGCTCTTTGGCTCGCTGAAGAGACTCAGGATGATGGAGCTCCACCAGTTGCTGTTTCAGGTTTTCCAGAGTGATTTCAGTTGTTCTGGCCTTCTTGGTCAACTAGCAAACACACACAGGGTACCCATGTTGATAGCATCTTAACTCCACTCTGTAAGACTGTCCCGGATGCTACTCACAAGCCCACGGTTGCTAGGAACAATTCCTCACTGACAACTAGACTGCGCACTTATATGCAGAGGGTAAATGAGGATCCCAGAGAGCACAGTGGCCCTGCTGTGATCAGTCCTAGCATCGCTTGCATGGCTCTATAAGCAAGGGGAGGGGGCACGACCCATTGTAGGGTCACAGAAAAATGTGCTGCCCCTCCATAGACTGCAAATGGTTACTTATCAAATAAAAAGGGTTTTGGTTTTCTTTTTTGAGACAGGATTCCATCTCTGCCCAGGCTCAAGTGATTATCGTGCCTCAGCCCCCTGAGCAGCTAGGACTATAAGCACATGCCATCACATCCCAGCATAAAGAGTTCTGAAGGCAGAGCTGATACTGTGGGTAAAATAACAACCCACGATGGTTTCCTAATGCCCTAAATCTGTGATTATGAAGGCTTTACAACAAGAAAGAATTAAAGTTGTGGATGGAATTAAAGTTACTAACCAAATAACCTTGAAATAAGGAGACTCTGAAGGAACTGTTTGGCTCAAGATCATTACAAGTCAACAGCTGATTGCATCACCTTGGGCAAGTTCTTGGCCCTTCTAAGACCTGCATGACACATGCATAAGACAGTAATATCCAGTGCCTTTCTAGTCAGAATTCCAATTAGAGTTCTGTTTTATAAAACATTAAACATTGGGGGGCTGGAGAGATGGCTCAGAGGTTGGGAGCACTGGCTGCTCTTCCAGAGGTCATGAGTTCAGTTCCCAGCAATCACATGGTGGCTCAGCAACCATTTATAAATGAGATCTGGTGCTCTCTTCTGGCCTGCAGGCATGCATGCAGACAGAACACTGTATATATAATAAATAAATAATTTTTAAAAATCAAAACAAAAAAACAAGGTGATGGCGCATGCCTTTAATCCCAGCACTCGGGAGTCAGAGGCAGGCGGATCTCTGTGAGTTCTAGGCCAGCCTGGTCTACAAGAGCTAGTGCCAGGACAGGCTCCAAAGCTACAGAGAAACCCTGTCTCGAAAAACTTAAAAAAAAAAAAAAAAATTAATGAGGGAAATTTTCAAAATTTTTTGAATAGGGATAACTGTTGTTTGCCAATTTTAAAATACACCATAAAGCTACCATCATGACAGCATTCAAAAAGGAACAGAAAAATATGTAAGAAGAAAAATTTTCTACAAGTTAATTTAAACAGCTCACTCAGCATACACTGACACCAGCTGTAAGCCAAATACTGGCCTAAATGGCAGAGCTACTGATGGAGGAAGGTCATTGGCTAATAAAGGCACTGCCCTGGCCCATTTTATTGGTTAGAGGATAGGTGGGAGGAGAAAACAGGACAGAACACTGGGAGGAAGAGGAAGTGAGGTCGGAGTCTCCACAGCTTTCCTCTCAGGAGCAGACGCCTGAGAGAGACGCCATGCCCCATGAAGACCCAGGATGGACTAGGCTAGAATCTTCCCGGTAAGACCGGTTCTCACAGATTATTAGAGATGGGTTGATCAGGATGTGAGAATTAGCCAGTAAGGGCTAGGGCTAAAGGGCCAAGCAGTGATTAAAAGAATACAGTGTCTGTGTAATTATTTTGGGCATAAGCTAGCCAGGCAGACGGCCGGGGGTGCTGAGAACGCAGCCACCGCCGCCCTAATTATTACAAGCTACAAGCATGAGGCTAGTCCAATGATGCTTTCAAGGTATTCTCCGTCTTTTATATGAGTATAAAAGACTAAGAAGCTGTTAGTCAGATGCCAACAGCCATGGACTAGGCATTCCCGAGAAGAGGCAGTGTGCACAGGCATACAAAAACAAGACCGAGGAGAGAAGAGATGACCCATGGACAGAAGGTCACCTTGTCACACAGGTGAAGTAGCTCGTGCAAAGCCTTTAAGTGGTAAGAGACTAACAGAATTGGAACTATATCTGGAATTACCCAGGTGGCCATAGGAGCATCTGCAGAAAGGGTAAATCAGAGCACTGAGAGACTTTTGCAGTGAGGACATAAAATCCAGAAAGGACAGAAATGCTGGCATCCACCGAGGAGAACTGCCATCACCTCCTGGACCCACAGGTGAATTCAGGTGGCTGGCAGAGCATCTATGGTGCAAAGTTCTTCTGAATGTAGTCTTATATAAACTAAAAAGGTTTTGTTCTTTTAATTTTGTTCACTTATTTAACCTGTCAGTGTTTTGTCCACACGTATGTCTGTGAGCCACATGTGCCTGGTGCCCACAGAGGTCAGAAGAGGAAGTTGGATCCCTGGGACTGAAGACAGGTTGCTGCAAGCTGCCATGTGGGTGCTGGGAACTGCACCCTCATCCTCTAACGAGCAGCCAGGGCCTTAACTGCTGAGCCACCACTCCAGTCTCCAAACTAAAGCTGCACTGAATAAAGCTATAGTCTTACCTTTTCTTCGCTGACTTTGAATGCTTGAATTTGGGTCTCTAGTGCTTTTATCTGTGCTTCAAGCTGGATCTCCCTTTCCTTTCCATTCTGAAAGAGTTTCTGGGATTCCCTAAGGCTGAGGGTCAAGCCATCCTTCTCATCTGGAACATGAAAGATATTTACATATATACTGTCACTACTGTGGGACCATAATTGTCACAACCTCTATGAGATCTATACCTGAATGAAAATCAACTCAGAAAATTGAGTTTTAGTTGCTTTAGAAAAAAAAAAAATTATTAAAAAAATTGACACCAAAAATAATTCACAGAACCAACTACGCTGCCTTTAATCCCTTATTGGATCCCTTCATGGCAAAAAGATTACCAATACTTCCAGCATCTGTTCACAAGAGGTTACAGATACAAGCTCGTGCCAATCAAAATTGTACCCTAGAACAGATCATAGTGGTACACACCCGTGACCCCAGTACTCAGGAACTACACAGTGAGCAGTACTGATCCCGGTACTCAGGGACTACACAGTACTGATCCCAGTACTCAGGGACTACACAGTACTGACCCCAGTACTCAGGGACTACACAGTACTGACCCCAGTACTCAGGGAACTACAAAGTAAGCAGTACTGACCCCAGTACTCAGGGACTACACAGTACTGCTGCTGGTACTCAGGGACTACACAGTGAGCCTGCATACACTACTCACAGAAGTGCAGCCTGGGCCTGGGATCTCCTACAACTCACGTGCGCCCTCTCCCCGTGTCAAATGAGGGCATTGGAAATGAAAAGCACAAGGAGTTAGAAAAGAGTAAGATGAATTTATCAGAAGCCAGCAGCCCTGCTCTTTTGCATCACAAAAAGCTCCAAGGGGCTCCGAGCCAGCGCTGCCTCACCTTGGATGATGAGAAGCTGGTGGTTCAGATACCGAATCTGGCGTTCACTCTCATTCAGCTTTTCAACTAAGCTGTCCAGCTGTCTCTCCTTTGCTTTGTTAAGAACCTGGAGTTGAATAATATGTATATTTTCTGCAGAGTCTGCTTTGGAATTAGAGACAATTTATTAGATAAAAAACATACTAAAATATAAGTCTGTGATTAGCTAGGGTAGTGTATTTCAAGCTTTTTGAACTATCATGAAACCAGTGAATGCCGACTATCGTCCTTCTGAACAAGAAGACAGATGCTACAGAATGTATCGGAGAGCATGGGGGAGTGAGGATATGCATCTTGTTTGGCTTTGGTCTCATTGACATGAGTGGACTCTACTGCAGGACAACTACACGCTTTACTATGGGTCACCACCAGGAAGGAAAGGCCTCTGGGTTCAGGTTAAACACGAACTCACTACCTGTGTGGACAACTAACACAGCTGCAATGAAGAAACGTGCTCTCGTCAGACACAAACACAGAGACTGCTATGACACTATCTGAAAAGAACACTGCTAGATATATTGTCAAAGTATCCTCTTTAGCCGAAGGGTAAAGACATTGTTTTATGTTTATACTGGCACATAGCAGCTATATTCATTAACTAATAACAAGAGGAATGAGCTCTGACATCTTCATCAGAAACAAAGTCACTATAGAGAATATTTAAACTGGTGGAAAAAAATGACAGGTATAAGAATAACACTTCATTTCCATAATGACATTCTTCATTTCCCACTAGACTAATGCTTCTGGAAGCTTATGATCAATAAATACACATTAAAAATTTTTAATATTTATCAACAAAATAATTTATACTCTTTTCTAAATTAAAACAACAACAACAACCACAAAAAAAAAAACAAAAAAAAAACTTAAGTCCAGGCCTGGTGGTACACGTCTTTAATCCCACCATTCAGGCAAAGGCAGACAGGTGTCTGTGAGTTCAAGGCCATCCTGGTCTACGTATTGAATCTTTAGTCTCCAGGGAGTGGCACTATTTGAAAGAACTAAAAGGACTAGGAGGAGTGGCCTTGTTGGAAGAAGTGTGTCACTGGGGGTGGACTTGGAAGTTTCAAAAGCCCATGTGAAGTCCAAAGTCAGTTTGCCTGTTTGTGCCTCCTTTCTCTTTGCCTAAATATGGATCCAGTGCCAGTCTGCAGGCTGCCATGTTCCCTGCCATGATGATAATGGACTAAACTTCTGAAACTGTAAGCCAGTCCCAATTATATGCTTTCTTTTACAAGAGCTGCCTTGGTCATGGTGTCTCTTCACAGCAATAGAACAGTGACTGAGATGGGAGCAAATAATATATAACTAAACCTGAGATCAACATCAATTCTGAATATAATAGCAGATTTGTCCAATCATCACATAAAAAAATATAAGAGTAAAAGAAACATTAAGAAATTAATAACTGATTCATTAAACACATGTCTACAAGTGAGAAACTCAAGACTGGTGAGATAGTGTATTTGTGTTCCAAAGCAGATGAGAAACTCTAAGTTCAGGGTGACTCAAATATTCAGTGCTAAAACTTTCCTCTGACATTTCAATTTCAAATAATGCTACATTAGAGGACATAGCACAATGGATTCCAAAGAAGTAGCTATGACTTCTTATTTTATCTTCCCTACAAACACTTTCTCTTGAGAGATGCTGGGAATGAAAACAAGGGCCTTACAAAAAAACACACGTCCCCTACCGTTGAGCTGCAACCACAGCCCTTGGCATTTTTGAGACAGGGTACAAGGTCTCACCAGGCAATGTAGGCTGACCTTGAATGCCCTCACAGCGTGTACAGGCTGGCCTTGAATACCCTATCTACACAGGCCGACCTTGACCTTGAATACCCTCATTGTGCATGTGGGCTGACCTTGACTTTGAATGCCCTCACTGTGCACACAGGCTGACCTTGACCTTGAATGCCCTCACTGTGCACACAGGCTGACCTTGACCTTGAATGCCCTCACTGTGCACACAGGCTGACCTTGACCTTGAATGCCCTCACTGTGCACACAGGCTGACCTTGACCTTGAATACCCTCACTGTGCACATGGGCTGACCTTGACCTTGAATGCCCTCACTGTGCACACAGGCTGACCTTGAATGCCCTCACTGTGTACACAGGCTGACCTTGAATACCCTCACTGTGCACACAGGCTGACCTTGAATGCCCTCACTGTGCACACAGGCTGACCTTGAATACCCTCACTGCACACAGGCTGGCCTTGAATGCCCTCACTGTGCACACAGGCTGACCTTGAATGCCCTCACTGTGCACACAGGCTGGCCTTGAATACCCTCACTGCACACAGGCTGACCTTGAATACCCTCACTGCACACAGGCTGACCTTGAATACCCTCACTGCACACAGGCTGACCTTGAATACCCTCACTGCACACAGGCTGACCTTGAATGCCCTCACTGTGCACACAGGCTGACCTTGAATACCCTCACTGCACACAGGCTGACCTTGAATGCCCTCACTGTGCACACAGGCTGACCTTGACCTTGAATACCCTCACTGTGCACACAGGCTGACCTTGACCTTGAATGCCCTCACTGTGCACACAGGCTGACCTTGAATACCCTCACTGCACACAGGCTGACCTTGAATGCCCTCACTGTGCACACAGGCTGACCTTGACCTTGAATACCCTCACTGTGCACACAGGCTGACCTTGAATACCCTCACTGTGTACTCAGCCTGTCTTGACTGCTCTATGCACTTAGGCTGGTCTCAGCTGGTGCCAGATCCTCCTGTCGTTCCTCCTAAGATTATAGGTGAACCACCACTTACTAGTTTAATAAACTATATATTTTAAAATAAATAATAAAGTGCTTATTAGTTTGCTCATAAATATCTCAGTATATACATTTACTATAAGGAAATAAGGGCTCTTTTAAATGTCATCATTTCTATTATCATTATTTAAAAATGTTAATTCTATAATGTAAATATAAACATTCACTAAGTGTTCAAAATTCCCCGATTATGTTAATATAGCTGGGTGTAGTAATACAGCTCTAAGCAGGAGGATTGCCAAGGGTGTGAGGCCAGCTTGGGCAACACAGCAAGGCTCAAAAAAACAAAACAGTAACAGTCAAATAAACAAATATAAACAGAATACCTACTTTCATTGGCTCCTAAAAATTGTTGCTGCAGGCCATCAAACATGTCACTTGCTGCTATCTCCTGGGCTGGTGAGCTAGTGCTCTGGCCGGAAGACTGGAATGGTTTATAGATCACTTTATACGGCTCCAAAGCTTGACAGCTGGGTCCCTCAGATGAACCAAATTGCTATTAAAAGATGACAAATAAAATTAACATTACAATTTGGCTTTTCTTCCAAAAGTCCTCTACTAGGCACCCCCCTCCACCTTCCAAGTGCTGGAATACAGATGTGCACCATCAGACCTGGCTTATACTATACAGGGGATTGAACCAAGAACCCCATGCATGCTGGACAAACATTCTACTAACTGACCTACAACATCCCCAGCCCATGACCAAATATTCATAGACATTTTTGCTCAAAAATAGAACCCACTATTATTGAATAGTATAAATTGCTTCCTAGTTCTCTTGAGTATACAATGGAGTCAATTTCAAAAATAAAACTGAAGAATTGCAATGAGATTTGTGCCACATATGGTTACGATAATGTCACCATCTTGGGAACATAAAATATACACGTGTTCAATAAATGAGAGCATGTGATACCATCTCACATACAGGAAACTGTCAATTATTTTTCAGAGAATAACATTTTCCAGAGATGAGGAGAAAATACCTACCTTTTAATGGATCCCCCAAAAAATCATGTCATCGAATGATACAGAATAGCAATTGGGAAAATGAGCCACTTCTTGTCATTGTGAAATTCTAAGACACACTGTCTCCTGATGCCACAGTCAGTGCACAGCGTGTTCCCTTAACAGTCACGCCGTCTACAGCCGTGACACCACACAAAGCAGGACCTGGACTGCAAGCGTTAGATTTAAATTCAGTATGAAACTGAATACGAAGCCAAGGAAATTAAATGTCATGATCTACAGGAAATCGCTACTTTAAGAACAGCGTGCTTCTGAGGGCGGCAGTCTCACGGAAGACAGATGCGGTAAAAGAGGAGCTACACCTTTACCGTCTAAAGGACTACTTCCCAAAAGCTTCTGTTTTGAACACCAGGCTTGGCATCGCAATCACATTCAATTATAAACAGAAAACTAACTGAGCAGATTCAGAAAAACTGTTGTAAATCACTTTGTCATGCATCCACACACTTCCTTAAACACACAACCACCACCCAAGTACACGTCTACACACTAATTCTTCAACGTCAAATTCTCACAACACCTGAAACTTGTCTCTCTGAGGATCTGAAAATGTCACAACACCGGCTGCCTGCTTGTGAAATTCCTGCTTCTGACCACCGGTGTATGGCCTGAAGTCTTCAGGAAGGTGATACAAATCTGCTGGCTCGCGTTTACTTGGAGGGCTATAGCCACTTCCGCCCTCATCTCCGGCTTCTCCGGAATGGTACCCAAGATGCAGGTCTTCAGCTTTACCTCGATTTTCTTCCCAGCCATTGCCACACTGTTCTCCAAAATATAAGGCCAGTACAGTCCTATTAGTCAACAAGAGTAAAAAGCACTGAGATCTACCCACCCCGCAGCAACACTGTGCTCACAACGACACTTACATTCACAAGGTGAGATTTGGGCAGTATGTCACGCTCAATCCAGTTCCTCTCCAGTTCCTCAGAAAGATGCAGTCTTGAAAAAAAAAATCCCACTTTAGAGCTATACTCTACCATATTTGGCCAGAAATAACACAAAGAAACCCAAAATTCTCGTATTTATTTTTCCTCCAACCTTAACCCAAAAGCTTCACAAACCAGTCTAAAGTTTACATTATCATCAGCAGAGAATCAAAGGAAGGTTTATGGAGGGGATAAACAAGAGGAGGTGATTCCAGGTCCTTACTCTCCGGCTCTGCCATCCACGCTGCAGTCAGAATCGTGGCGCTCAGGAGAGGAGAGGTCATCATCCAGCATGTCGTGAGGGAGGTCTGTGAGGAGCTGCTGCAACTGAGTCAGGAGAGTCACATCAGGACCCCGCTGCCCGACACACCAGACACTACCCACAGCGGCCCTGCAGCCGATGCCTGACTGTACACAGAGATTTCCTACTCCTCCACTTAATGAGCTTCTTAAATTGCACACAAATCATGTTGAGGAGAGGGGACAGCATGACAGCAGGACTAACGACTTTTCCTACAAGGGTGTCGGGTTTATATGCACACATCACAGCTGATGGATGCAGAGCAAACCCTAAATCACTGCAGCCACTCGCAGTGTCGGGTTCCACAGAGCACACCTGCCTTTCAGGACCCCACCTCCCAGAATCAAGGAGGTGACAATGAGATGTCCCCCAGGGAATCTGAGTGGCCAGATGGGCTCTGACAGGTGATGGGAACGGCAGCAACAGCAATGGCCTAGGAGCCCGTAAGCTCTGCTAATGGGCTAGCGACTCTCTAGGGGGCGGATCTCTGCTCTGAACAGATGCAAAAGCATACACTAAAATGAACAAAACAAGGCTAATTTCAATATCAATATGCAACTGCAGACTGACAGGAATCGTGGGAGGGAAAGATGGACGACCCAGACGACATATCCATCTTTCCAGGCCCCGCGCCTCTGTGGTTTAAAAGTCCAGTATTAAGCAGACTATAAGTTTTGCTTTGTTGAAATTTAATGAATTATAAATCCCTTCAAAACAACACAAGATGACATAATCATGATCAGTTGTTAAACACTGGGTTCAGGGCTTTCTTTCCAAGGAACTCACCTCTTTTTCCCTTTCATAGTCTTCTTTGTCAAACTCTTCATCTTCATTTTGTGTCTGCAGTGCTACACTGCCAAACTCCAACGACATGGTCCTCCTGGGGGTGGAGGGAGAACTGTCACTCCCAAAACAGTCATATGACAACAATGCATAGCAAAGAAAAAGGGCAAAGAATCATTGAAACAGTGACCAGGCTTCCCAAGTGGCTAGAAGGTACTTACATCAGTAAGATGTCTGCAAACAAAAACTCAGAACGCTAACTAGAAAGTCCAAACATAGCAATCTTAAGAATCAGCTCAAGTGGAAGCCTCAAGTCTATGCACTGAACACACACAGTAAAGGTCCTGGAGACTCTGCTCTATGCTCTGAATTCCACAAATACAAACTTCATGTTTTCCAAAAAAGCAACTCCTAAGTTCTGAGCTAGTGATTGTTACCCAGAAACTGTTTACACACCAACAAGCTTAGGGTTCCAGGACTCCCTTTTCAGCAATCACGGTCTGGCAAAATACCACAAGGACAGACTGTGGGCTATGCTAGCATAAGGCTCCAGAGAAGCTAGACAGGCTTCTGGTTATTTAATTATAAACAAGGACCTAATGTCCCCAAATTCTAAATTATTGAACAATTCTGAACAAAAGAAAAAAAAAGGTAAGTATGTGCTACCAAAGGCGTGGCTAAGACTGTCTTCAATCTAGGCTCCTCCCACCAGGGACGTGTACTTCCGTGTGTGGTCTGACCACAGGTCATTCACGACAACTTCCAGACTGTAAAAAGTCATTAAACCGAGTCACATAAGAAGCATTTGGACCCAGCAACTCAAGTGCATTTTGCCATAAAGAATAACCCCCTTTTGGTAACAGTTGCAAACTACATCACAAACTTCATAACTGTTAACCCCCTTTATCATATTTAAGACACCCTGTATTATACGATGTAGTCCCATTTGCACACTGAGAAAAAGAGACCAATTCAATTATGACACAACACTACTTTTAAAACACAGATTATTTTATAGCTGTTAAAATGTGAACCCAAAATTTGGGGTTTTTAACCAGACATCACTGGGGGATGAAAGCCTGTCTCTCCCAGGGCCCTGCTGGAACTCTCTTGTATACATCATAAAATAGAGATTAGAATATGGTAACCTAAGCCAGCTGATGTGGTGAAGGGAAGACACTACTCTTACATCTCTGGGTTCAGGTCATTGCTCCAAGCAGACATCATGCCTAGACAGAGTCTCAGACGATGGAAACAGAGATATCCTTCAATCTATCACTGTAAAGACGTGGGGCAAAGCTGAGCCTGGAGAGTCGGCTCAGTGGTCAATAGCACTTGTTCCTTCAGCAGAGGACCCAGGATCCGTTCCCAGTATCTACATGATATCTGTATCTTCAGTTCCAGGAGACAGGAGGCCCATTTCTGTCCTCCACAGACCCTGAGCATGCAAGTGATGCCGCAATAACCTTGCAGGCAAAAGACCCATGCACATAAAATAAAAATACATTTTTTAAAACTGTATAACACAAAAACCATCAGTCGTGAGCCAAACAGTATGTATCACAGAATATATTAACAAAGTCAAGAGTGCCAGGTGGTGGTGGCACACACCTTTAATCCCAGCACTTAGGAGGCAGAGGTAGGCAGATCTCTGTGAGTTCAAGGCCAGTCTGAGTAAGTTTCAGGAGGTGGGGGGGGGGGTGGGGAGGCAGCTAAACAAGGAAACCCTATCTCAAAAACAAAGTCAAGGAATAAAATTACAAAAATTGTAAAACTACTTACAAAACACCTAATCAAAAGTAAAGTATCAAAAAGCATTTTTCCAAGAAAATGAGATGATAACTTAAGATGGGAAAATAGCACAAGAATTCATTTTAGAAAGAAATATAAATGCTCATTTAACAAGTCTAAGCTCAAGCTTGGGAGAAGGCTCAGTGCATCAAAATTCTTGGCATTTGAGTTTGAACACCAAGTTCAAATCCTCAGACCCCACATTACAGCCAGACACAGCACAGGCGTCTGTAATTCCAGCTTCAGAGACTGTCCAGAAGGTCATGGACCAACTAGCATGCCCCACACACTAGAACAGCGACAGAGACTGTCTCAAACAAGGCGGCAATCAAGGACTGACACCAGAGGCTGTCCTCTGACCTCTACACACATGGCATGACACCAGCACAGCCATATTTACACATATAAATACACACAGATACACACATACATCTCATACACATAGCAACATACAAAAACAGAGGTTAAGTCCATGAAGAAGTCAGCAAGTTTAGTGTAAGTAATAAAGCGCCATCTTCAACTACGGCATTGAAAACAGTCACACAACACTGACCATGTTTTTCACGGCTTAATAAACTGCTGGTGAAATATGACCAGATAATCATGTTGAAAAGCATCAATACAAAATGAACATGTGCCCTCGTAAAACTGCCTCTGGGTGAATATGGCAAAATCATGCATTAGTATAAACAATGATTTACTCCTGTATTTGACCAGAGGGCTGACCACTTAAAAAAAAAAAAAATCGAAGAATAGACTACATGGATTGTGTGCTTTTTAAAATACAGCTACTTGGTTAACATTTTCATTCTAGCCAGGGAACTTTTTCTAACCCCAGTTACAAGAATATAAAAAGCATGTCCAGACTCAGATTAGACAGACCTCTGACCCAGCACTCATTCTCTCGTCAGTATTATCCCTGGTAGTTGTCTGGTCGTCATCAACCCCCAACACACACACACACACACACACACACACACACACACGACACACAATGCGGGTGCTAAGAAATGAACACACATCCTCTGACAAGAGCACTGACAAGCTCTTAACCACTGAACCGTCTCCAGCAGCAGTAGAAAGGACCTTTAGATAGACCTTAAAGGATGCAATATGTTGTAAGCAATTAGCACTGAAGGTCCTCATTCAAAAACCTGGACTCCGGCAGCTGTGCAATCTTAAACTGCTTCCATTTCTTTACTAATGAAACAGGGTAAAAAACAGCGTGGGTGTGGGAAAGGAGTGGCTGTAACTGCCTGTGGGAAAGTTGACGTCTCCGAGATGAGGGCCCCGCCCTCCTCTAAACGCTTGCTCCATCAAAAGTCCATTCTGCGCCCTTCCAGAGCGCTCGTCTTATTACTCTTTGCTTGTGGCTTCAAACTTCAGCCTTTACATAAAAAACAGTCGCGTATTATGAAGCTATAAGGTGAGATTCAGCTTAAGTCAGACCAAAAGTCCTAACTACTACAAGGGTAAGTGCCCTGGGCGTTAGGAACCCGCACCCGCACGCTAGCTCACACGCTAGCTTCTCTCACAGAATGGAAACAGCCAAAACTCAACAGGTTGTTTCAGACACTTTCAAGTGTTGTTCGGATACAAAGGACACGGAGAAGCAACTTGGTGGAGTAGGCAAACAGCCGTAGACAGAAATGATGACAACCTCTGGCGATTCGTGGACCGATAACAGCTTGTACAAACCAGGGTGGGCAGAGGACAGCAACCCGAAAATACAGAAAGCTCCCTCCACCTAGTGTACTCACTCACGCAGCACCCTTACCAAAGAGCTGGGCCCGGCGCCCAGGAACCTGGGGGGCGCACGGGTCTGCGGGTGCAGTGCTGGGGCCGAGGGCCGGGCAGGGAGCCAGCGTGCACAGTCGCCCCGGTGCAGAAGACTCGAAGGCGGCTCCCAATCCTGCAGCAGTCCGCCCGGCCGTGAGGCTGCAGTCACCGAAGCGCCCTCCAGCAACCCGCTACCCCTACTTCCAGCCTGAGAGCACCTTCCCGGTACAACCTAGCCCGCGAACCCCGCCACTCGATGAGCAGCCACCTCCTCCAATCGCCGCCGCCGTTTGATGGGCCGGCCGACTGGGCGGAGCGACAGGGCGGAAGACCCGCCCCCCACATGGTCGGTTGAGAGGTCGTCCGCAGTTGCCAGAGCGCGGCTGTTCGAAGAGAGCGCCAGTAGCGGCGGGAAGCTTCCCGGAGTCCCATTGGAGAAGTCGTAGGCCAATCACAAAAGCCCTCTGAGAGGGCGGGCTTACGGTTGCCTAGATACGACGGAGCGTTTGCCCGTCCAGAGGTAGACGATGATTGTTAAATTTGGCCTTATATTCAGCCCTGACTTGTTTAAATTTGTGTTTCTTTACTGATAAGATTGTACCTGCTCTCTGGTGCCGCTTCACTACGTACTTGAATTCCCTCGGATGTTAGCCTATCGTTAAATCCCATTATAGCATTGAACTTGGAAGTCATAACCACACTGAATAAATCTCATTTTTGCTTTCCACGTTTGTCTCCCTTGATTTGCTTATTGAGGAGGGTGGCTGGATCTATCATGGACACAGGTTGTAGCCCCTGAGTTCTGTTGCAATTACGGTCTCTGACTTCTTTTGTAAGAAGGGATGAATATCAAGAACTTTGCAGTGTAGATTACCACATCCTTGTAAACCTTGCACCGCGTGGAGTAAAATACTGGCCCAAGGCCTTCCAAATGTGCCTAGTTTTGCTCTGCCAACAGCCATCCCATCCTTGAAATGCCTGCGGCGACCCCTCAGCGGGGCATCTGATACCGGATGAGAGCGTGCGGCGACCCCTCAGCGGGGCATCTGATGCCGGATGAGAGCGTGACCCAGAGAAACGATGCAATCCCAAGACTGACCTTCCCATGGTAGCGGGGCATCTGATACCGGATGAGAGCCTGACCCAGAGAAACGATGCAATCCCAAGACTGACCTTCCCATGGTCTCCTGGGTCGCTGCGTGTAGCCTGTGCTGCTTTTCAGTTCCATTGCCCCTCCTTCACCGCTCAGCCTCGGGACACACTTCACTTAGCGGAACTGGATTTGGCTATATACAAACACGCACACACACACACACACACACACACACACACACACACACACACAGTGTGCATACCTGCTCCAAGAGAAGATGGATCTCTTTTCTGTTGTAGTCAGATATTACAGGTCTGTTTCACTCAGAACAATATGAACATCTTGGAGGTATTTCGTAAGCATTTATCATCACGCTTCATGGCCCATGCTCGGCACTCAGAACAACCGTGTTATTGGGGAATTCATGAAGGAATGAGCAAATAAAGGAAGCTACTGGGTCCAGAAAAGATCAGTGAAAGGTATTTGGGTAAATGGCATTTATTGGAGGTGAATCAAGGTTAGCTGCCAGTTATAATGAGACTTGGGCACACTTCACAATCAAACTGCGTCTGGTGTCCCAGGCTGCGGTGCACAGGGAAATGCTGTAGCAAAGATGGCAAGACAAGAGGAATAGCTTGCTCTTTGTTGAGATGTGTACTTTTCCTTCCAGAATTTCTGTCCCCTAGGGTACTCAATCAAGAGCTGCCATGAAGTTCTGTTGGGTCCACCTGCCTTTGTGTGTCCTCATGCAAGCAGGTGTAACTTTCCCAGCTCCTGCTCATGCTTTGCTTTTGGATGCTGGCCAGAACCCACATCTGTTTTCCCTGGGACTTGGAGCGTTTCCACTCTTTCTCTCAAGCTCCCCTCCCCACCATCTGGCTGCCGGTCCACCGTATAGTTGGCCTGTACTCCAACTTAACTCAACTACCATTGGCTTTTTCTCCTCCTCTGGGCAGCTACAGAGATTTACAGTTTGCCTGCCCTGGGGCTTTTCTTTGACCTCTCCTACAATTGTCCTCAAGCTTCTGTTTGAGTTCTTTCTTAGATTCTGTTACTAAGGAGACTAAGAACCCCAGGAGGGGGACCCTGCTTTCCCTGGAATCCCTCTGCTGCGCCCTGGGAAGCCAACCTTTAAGAAAAGATCAACAAGCTCCCTCACTCTGCCTTCAGGTTACCTCAGTCAGTGAAGAAACCCAACAGATCAGGGGTAGAGCAGGCAAAAAGCAGGTTATTAATGCTCTTGGCTAGTCCTCTCCTCTGCACCACCAGGATCAGCTGTGACCCCCAGCCCACCCCAGGACCATTCACAGCCCCTGCATGCAGCCATCAGCTCTCCTCTGGGCTCTGTAACTGCTCTCACCCTCTCCCTTCTACTAACCCTAGAGCACTGTATTCTATCGCGGTTTCTCTCTACTTTAAGCAAATCTTAAATACCCCTTATTAATCTCTCCTCACATTACCCAGTTCGAAGGAGCCATCTGTTTCTGCCAAGACGCTGATCCACCACACATACGCTAACATTTCCAAGTCCCAAATACCAGACTTATATTGTCAGTTGTCAGAAAGCAATAATCATTTATTTTTTTTAGAAAAGTCATTTACAGATATTTATAGGCAAATGAACCACCGTTTTAAAATAGAGGTTGAGATTATGAGATTAAAACAGCATGCAGACATCTCTTGCATCTTTCGGGCGTGTGAATGGTGTCTTTAGTACCTGCAAGTGCAGTACTGGCTTCCCCAGCTACGGCACCACGTGAGTCCAGTGCTGGCTGCCCACATGTGCTGCTCACACCATCAGTGCGCCCTACATCTGGAACTCCCGGACCCCCAGTCTGTGTTCATCAGCTGGAAGGAGACCACAGTCCTGTCCTGCCTCTGATGCAGGTTGCCTACACGTTCCTAGCACTACACTGATCATTCTATGAAGAAAGATGATGAAGACCTAGATACGGGGGAAATCAATGAAATGTACACCGTTTCCTAGCTGGGGGAAGGAAGCCTATGTGAGAAGTCAATGGCAGCGGAAATCAAACGGTGAGCTGTTACACGAAAACATCAGGCTTCACTGGACTGGATTTCTGATGATTTTTATCCAAAAGAACTATCCCATATTGTACTTAAAACTTACCAAATATATCATAATCGCAAAGGTTAGGTTGCATCTACTTAGCCAAAATTAAGTGGTATTGAGATAACTATCCAGAAAACTCGGGATTAATCTCTGTCTGTCTGTCTGTCTCTCTTTCTGTCTCTCTCTCCCTCCCTCTTTCAGTAATGACCATGTCTTCATGTCTTTATATGCAAATGCAAGTAAGAACTGACTGAAACATTTCTGCTATTACTAAAACAACCAGATCATCAACGTTACCTGCTTAATACTAAAAAACTTGGGGTCAAACTACTTGAGTGGTGATTTGCTGGGACCCTTTATCAGTAGAGTATGGACACAGAAAAAAGGGAAAGTCTAAATGTTTACCCTTCACTACGCAAGCTGCTTATCAGTAGTAACTTCTAACATGGGAACAGCTATGTTAGGATGGCAACGGACCTCAGAGTGCACCTCTGAGCTCTCTCGACTCATAAACAAGAAAACTGGATTCCAGACAGGTTTAGCACCCTGCCAAGAGCCACAGTGATGACCAGTCTGAGCCTAGAGCTTCTGGGAATTCATTTCCCCACCGGTGTAACCCTTGGGCTGTGTGTGGCAGGCCTTTCCAAGCCCGTTGCCCCGTGAGTTTCCTCACACTCGGCATTTTGTCTGATCGCAGGTAGAGAGGGAGACAGGACACAGAGAGAGATGACGCTGGGATCCAGTGGCAGCCAATCAAAAGGAAAGTCTGCTATACTTAAAATTACCTCCTGTCCTCTCTGTAAGAATGGAACGAACCGTGTGGACTGAGCATGAAGGACACTGGTTTCGTTGGCCATCTTTTATAGCCATGTACTCAAAGTCAGAAATAGCCAAGAGATTTGGCCCCGTGAGCTTGTCTCATGCTGCATATGAACCGTTCAGATGGCAAAGACTGAGGAACACTGGCCGGCGAATTGGGGCCCCAACCTTTGAATCAACAAATGAGACCGAAGGAGGACACCGTCAATGGCTGTTGCTTCCATGTGTCCACAAGCATAGACGCAGCCTGAACTTGGTGTCTGTGTCATATGTACAGTGGCGGGGAACAATGCCACTAAACGGAAAACGGAGTAAAGCCAACACTGTTCATCAAAATTGCTTCCCCTTGCTTTTAGAGTAAGGAAAAACTAACTCTTTTGGCAACTGGTTCTGTAGCTATTGAACACAAAAACTCTTGGAAACTAATCTCCCCCATATGAAAATGTCCCCCAGATTATCAAGTTGAAGGCACATACCACTGCCTGAGCAGTTCAAGTTGTCTTTAGCATATGAAATTGTAGTTGTGCTTTTAATCGATGCAATGTGACCTTGAAAAGTGACCTCCGTGCACATGGATAACTCCTTTTCAAATGGATCAAAATCCTTCTTCTCTGATTTTCATATTCAGAGGGCATTTTATTAGTTCTCTATTTTATAAAAGACATAGTCCACGGTGGTCTCGGAAAGACGTTTCCCAGTCTGTGTCCTGTTTTCTCTGGAGAAAAGGTTTGTGTTGTCATTGTTCCGGAAAATAAAGGATATTCTTCCTACATGGGGCTTGGGGTTGTCATTTCTTGGAATGCAAAAGTCCTGGGTTAGTATCTTTTCTTACTGGTTGTTTAAGGCTTACTTCGCTTCCAGAAGAGATGATTGGCAAACTATTATCCATATGGTATTTGATAAGGTGGCCAATATCATCAAACACATGGTCCTTGGTCCTCACCTGGGAAAGGAAGCATAAGTATATTTGGTTGAATACTAGCAACTCTTCTGAAAGATGTAAACAATTTTTTTGGAGGGGACTATATCCCTAGAGTAGATATGTTGTAAAGAAAAGATGGTTTTTAATTCTATCTGATTGGAAGCATCACCCCAGACCCTGGCATTCATCCTTGGGGTGCCAATGGAGCAGAAAGCTCCATCTCAAGCCCCCTCCTCCTGGAATTTGCCTTGGTCCAGACTTCACCTCTGGAAAAACCCACCAAAAGCCCTGATCCCTCC